CCCTACCCGCTGTACTGTTGCTCTGGCCCCTGAAGCCGCTTTTATCAGCAAATTCCTCTCTGTGCATAGGCTTAATTCTTCGCTCTTGAATCATTCTGTTACTGCATCTATTATTGTGCCAGTAAATTGCCCATTAGAATTGAGAGGGTTTTTTTTTCGGGGGGGGGGGGCGCACACATGGCAATACTCAAGGATTATTACTCCTGGCTCTGTAGTTATGAACTACTCAGGGAGCTCAGGGATACTGAGGATCAAATCCGAGTCAGTCACGTGCAGGGCAAATACCCTAGCTACTCTACTATCTATCCACTAGTTCTTGCTCGAGCGGGCCCAGTAACGTCTCCATTGGAGACTTTGTTGTTACTGTGTCTGGCATATCGAATACTCTCGGTAGCTTGCCGGGCTCTCCGAGAGGGGCGGAGGAATCGAACTCGGGTCGGCCATGTTGGCCGCTTGTAAGGCGAACGCCCTACCCGCTGTGCTATTGCTCCGCCCACTAGTTCTTAGGAACTCATAAATCCCTTAAGAACTTAAAATTAATCTCATTCCCAAATCCTGAAATTCTATCGAGACAGGCATTAATTCGTGGAGAACTCGAATTTTAGTTGCATGCAATATTAATATAGTACCTATTGAAGTATGGGCTGGAGCGATAGCACAGCGGTAGGGCGTTTGCCTTGCGTGCAGCCAGCCCGGCTGAGCCGGGTTCGATTCTTTCGCCCCTCTCGGAGAGCCCGGCAAGCTACCGAGAGTATCTCGCCCGCACGGCAAAGCCTGGCAAGCTCCCTGTGACGTATTGGATATGCCAAACACAGTAACAAAACAAGTCTCAAAAAAAAAATGGAGGCGTTACTGGGCCCGCTCGAGCAAACCGAGGAACAACAGGAGGACAGTGTTTGTTGTTTGGATCTATTGAAGTAAGTCCTTTAAAATGACACTTTCAGGCTGGGAGTGGTAGTGCAGTAGATGAGTCACTTCCCTTGCATGTAGCTAACCTGCGTTCGATCCCTGGGAAGTGCTTTGCCAGGAGTGATCCCTGAGCAGAGCCATGAGCATCACTGGGTGTGTATCCCGAAAGCCTTTTCCCACTAGGTTAACTTCTAAAAAAATTTCCAACTGGTCAAATGAAAATCTACTATACCACTGTGAGTCTGGTACAACCGTTCTCAGAATTCTTTGGTCTGTGTCCCTTGACGGCAGGGGTTAGCACACCTGCGTGTGGGACAAATGGTTGTCTCCCACCTATTTAACATCTATTAGCAGATTGCATTGCTCATTTGCTTCTCTAAGCTACAATGACAACTGAGTGCTATGTATTAACAGAGCCCATATGGCCTACAAACCTAAAATACTAGAAAGTTCGCCACCTGTACACTTGCAGTAGGAGTCTAAGGAACTTTTCTCTCTGCTACTGTGATGGATGTTGTAACTTATACTTAAAAGCACAAATAATTATTTTTCTCAACAAACCATTTTTTTTAAATTAAACTTTTTTATTATTTTATTTTACATTCTTTTTTTTAAAAAAATTTTCATTAGTGAGACATCATGAGGTACAGTTGTAGACTTAAAAATTTTTGTGCTTATGGGCTGTTTGCAAATAATGATGCTAGAGACTAAAAGAATATTATGGGCTGGAGTGATAGCACAGCAGGTAGGGCGTTTGCCTTGCACATGGCCAATCCAGGTTCGATTCCCAGCATCCCATATGGTCCCCTGAGCACCGCCAGGGATAATTCCTGAGTGCAGAGCCAGGAGTGACCCCTGTGCATTGCCGGGTGTGACCCAAAAAAAGAAAAAAAAAAAAAAGAAAAAGAAAATTAACCCATTTAAAATGCAACATTTAAAAAAAATAAAAATGTACAGTGGTACATCCACTTTTTACAAATCTCTTTACTGCCCGGCTTAGTAAAATACAGCCTGATACCTGCTTTAATATTCAATATACTGCCATGTATCTTAGTGCTAACAAGAGTCTAGCCTTAATGGGTATGTAGTTGAAAAAGGAGGAATATATTCACACCTGGCGGTGCTCAGGGTTTACGCCTGGCTCTGCACTCAAGAGATCACTCCTGGTGGGGTCCAGGAACCATATACAGTGCCGGGGATTGAACTTGGGCTGTCTGCTTGCAAGGCAAACACCCTGTGTGCTATACCATCAATTGTGGCCCAGCTTCTTGGATACAAATACTGTACACTGCTTTTCTTTATATTTGAGCCGCTGACCACAAATCCAAGTATGACCATGTTTACCAGTTCTTTGTAGAAAAATGGTGTTCCATCAGAGACAGTAGTTGGGAGGAGTGATAGTACAGTGGGTAAGGTGCTTCTTGCCTTGCGCGTAGTCAACCCTGGCTTGATTTCCGAGACCCCCTTATGGTCCTGAACCCAGCTAGGAGTGATCCCTGAGCACTGAGCCAAGAGTAAATCCTGAACCCCCCAGATTGTGGCTCCAAAAATAAAAATCCACAGTGGTATGCAAGGTGCTTTCCTTTTTTGAGGGATGGGTTGCAGGCACTCACACGCATGGCCTCCTTCATGGAAGCATACGTCCACTGAGCTATATCCTTGGACTGCAGCATTACAAGCACTAGTACTCTAAGTACTTCTTTGTCAGAAAAATTAAAAGGCTGGAGTTAGACCGAGACTTTTGCTGCCTTGTCAACATCTTCTGTTGGATTGGAGGGCCACATCTGGAAATGCTCAAGGACCATATGGCATGCCAAGGTAGGATGGAACCAGGCCAACGGTATGCAAGGCAAATGCCCTACCTGCTGTACTATAGCTCCAGCCCTGTCAGTGTCAGTGACATCTTTTTTGGGGGGTGGCCAACTCAGTGGTGCTGGAGGATCACTAGGGTCATAACCGGAAGTGCTCAGTGAGCCATTCAGTGCGAAACATAGAACCTGGGGCTCTGTGTATGCCAAGCATGTGCTCCAGCCCTTTACACTATCTCCCTGGTTTGTTGCAGGGCATCGTTAAGTAAAACTGGACATTAACAACTGGGGGTGGAGAGACAATACAAGGAGGTGTGTGAATCTGAATTGAATTCCCAGCACCACGTATGGTTTCTTGAACACAACTAGGTGTGCCTCGTCCAAATACAAAAAACCGAGTATGTTTGCCTTCGATAGATAAAATGAAAATTCCAAGATTTCTAATCACAAATATGAAAGCCTATCAAGTTTGCAAAAAGAACCAATTCTGCAGTGATCAAATCAGCAACAGGCTTCACTCAGATCTGTGTGTCTGTACTTTCTTATCTATGAATTACCAAGTAGTAAGCTGAACAAAACCTGGACTGGAACAGAAAAGATTGGCCTTTGGGGCAAGCTGACCAAAACGGTAAACATGCACTTCAACTGTACGCCTTTGAGTAATATAAAATCAGGTCGACTGCATGTGATGGTAGAATTTTGAGTGAATCCAGGACAACTAATTTACCATTAGAAAATATTGTATTCAGCAAGATTTGTCACAAAATCAAAGGCCTAGAAAATGCAAACCTGTACCTGGAGTCTGATGGAATGGATTCATTCCTATCAAACCCAAACCACAAAAAATAAGAAAGTACACAGTACATATGTACTTTATTCTCATCAGACCTTGAAAAACAGAATCATGAATAAAAGTTTAAACGAAATGCCATAAAGTATGAAAATAAGCAATGATATACATTGTAAGGCTATTTCATATTTTATTGACTAATTGTGTTTGCAGGAGATTTCTTTACAACATTCCAAAAGATGAGGAAGGAAACAAACCTTCATTATCACTCAATAATACCGCAATGAATCTACAATTAAAGCATGTAATAGGACTCATTACAGACTTAACATCCTTAAGCAACTGAGAGTCTTGATTAAACCTTATTCTGATTTCAGCGAGGGTGGTGGTAGTTATTCTAAATCTTGTGTTGAGATGAACATACAAAATATATATTTCACACATTTCTTTTATTATAGAAACCGAAGACTGCAAGAAAAGAGAAAATGGAAAGAGACGTAAGACATGCACATTCTATTTCACAGTCCTGGGAATCCAGTGAAAAGCGGCAGGCACTGTTCTTCACTCATTACAGGATAAACACAGAAACGGTACTCTGCAGGTACCGTTCCCTCCGCTGACAGATGAGCTGCCTGAAGTTCAGACAAGCAGAAGGCCCGTGCCTGGCAGTGAAAGGCACAGTGCGATTGGGGCACAGACCACCCGTGTCCAGGGACTACACTTTTTACCCTCCATGGTCACACTGCTTCTCTCGGTACCTGGAAGTGGGGGCAAAGACGCCATACATAATCCTATGTACGTCTGAAATGTCTTTCTTTACTCGCGGAGAGTCTAAAGTCCTTTCACATTTATAGTTATGACCAAATTCAGATACTTTCCACTTTTGGGTAGGGGGATAGAGCAAGGATTAAAGGATGGTAGCTGAAGGTAAATAAAACCAATGGCACATTAAAATAAGTACAAATGTATAAATGAAAATTTCCCTGACTAAGCAGGTCAAAGATGTAAACATCTGCTACCAATTCAAATCGTTTTAGTCTTTGAGTGAGAACACCCGAAGACCTCACTTCTATTTTGATTTTTAACTGTCAAATCAGTTAACACTGGTTGTTGTTAAATCTGTACACAATACAAATAAAGTATAAATTCAACTAGACATTTTATTTGAACATGCTTTTACCTATTTCATTAATCAATTGCTGTCACTACTGACAGTTCATATCTATTAAAGATGTTAACATCCTATCATTTAGTATTTACACAATACAGATGAGATTAAGTTAAACTACAAGTCACAAGTAGTTTTGGAAGCAACTCTACTTATAGCCGTGACTCAATAGATATACAGAGTAAACCAATGGCAATTCCATAATAAAATACAAGAATTTTCATCATGCATTGCTTACAGGCACCTTAAGAGGTGGTCTCTTTAGAGGCTGGATGGATAGTCAGGATTCAACAGACAACAAAATCTTGGCAAGTCTTTTTACACAATGCTTTTAAAGTTACCTTTATAGTACATTTTATACTCAATAATCCAAAAGTCCCCCAAATAAAATTTTCTCAAGGACCACTATCTCATTTGAAATACAACCAAATTAATGGAACTATTCCTTTTTCAAATTAAAGCCATGTTAATAAAACCCTCCAACTAATGTTAGTTGAGCTACAATTTTACCGCAACTATTTGAATCTTTATGATTTGAAATATTCTAGGATACAATAGTACTTCAATGGGTTGTTACTATATAAGCAAACACCCCCCCCCCCCAAACCCCCCCAAAAAAGCAGTGAATGAGTTGGGGCTATGGATGAAATTCTAAAAGAATCTTTAGACAAACCATGTTTTTTCAGAGAAGCAGAAAACCTCATGTTTGAGTTTTATCATCCTTATTATGAACAATCTATGGATGCAGAGTAAAGACTGTTCTTGGTATAGTAAAACGAAGGTTCTAAATACACTATAAATTTAACAGAACACTTTAGAAGTCCAGAAGCCTAAATGTCCTTTGAGTTTTAGAAAACTGATGGAAACAATCACTAACAGTCAATTCCTCAAGGGTGGTTTCTTAGAAGCATCACAAGCCCATGTGTGTCTTGGGTGCTTTCTCAATTGTGTATTCATGAACTCCATAAAATAAAAAAAACATGAACTGCAACTATATATGCATAGTGTTTCCTAGTCTCTTAAGGTTTGATTTTAGTTTGCACACTTAAGGAAGTTATACTTAGATCAAAAAAGATTTGCTTGTTGTCTGAAGTCACAAGGTGTATTCCCCTTTGCATTCCTTTCCATTACTGAAAAGTTCTTTGCAGATGAACAGAATGGAAGCTCCACGAGTTATGTAATGTCTCTCCACTTACAGTTTTGTGTGATTTCAATGTGACTAGTACAGTCTAACTAGTCTAAGCCCTTAAATTTCATCTTGCTAGAATTGATAACAAAAAGCCTAAATCTAAATTCTGAATAAAAAAAGGAAGAAAAAATCTGTACATACAAAATACATCCTAGCACACAAATTAAACGGTATAATATGTTCTCCAGCATCACGCTGTTTTTATTTTGTTTCTTAAATAAAGCTCATTCAGTCATCTTTTAATTAAATTATTCCCATCTCTTTCCCAAACTTATGGATAGTTTGAAAAAAAGGCTCAATTTGTACAAGTTATGAAATTTAATTTTCAGTTATGTCAGATTTCACTGTTTATAAACCACTCAAAATTGTAGCTTACAAGTGAAATGAGTCAGAAAGAGAGGGACAGACAGAAGTACTGCACTCATTTGTGCAATATAAAACAACATAATATGAGACTGACACCCAAGGACAGTAGAGAGAGGGCCAGGAATATTGCTCCTCAGTTGGCAGCCTGCCTCATGAGCTGGGGGAGAAGGCAGCTGGTACAGGGAAGGGATCACTAAGTCAATGATGGTTGGAGGGACCATTTGGGATGGGAGAGGTGTGCCGAAAGTAGATAAAAGACCAAACATGATGGCCTCCCAGTATCTGTATTGCAAACCATAATGCCCCAAAGTAGAGAGAATGGGGAAAATTGTCTGCCACGAAGGCAGGGTGAGGGGTGGGATGGGGGAGATACTGGGGACACTGGTGGTGGAAAATGTGCACTGGTGGAGGGATGGGTGTTCAATCATTGTTATGACTGAAACTCAAACATGAAAGCTTTGTAACTGTTATCTTATGGTGATTAAAAATAAAAAACCAGTAATTTACATGTATGACTTCTGAAAATAACACTTTTTTTTTTGCCTTTTCAGGGTCACACCCGGCGATGCACAGGGGTTACTCCTGGCTTTGTACTCAGGAATTATTCCTGGCGGAGCTCGGGGACCATATGGGATGCTGGGAATCGAACCCAGGTCGGCCGTGTGCAAGGCAACACCCTCCCCACTGTACTATCGCTCCAGCACCCTGAAAATGACACTTTTAAGAGTATTTTTGTTCTGTAAAAATATCCTATATACATGCATATGATCAACATTTTTTTTTTAATGTTGGGAAAATTTCCTATGAAAACAGTAAATAAAAGTCAATCATTTCCAATGCTAAGAGTGCCCCCTGGTGTTTCACTTCTGCAACTACCAGCCCGATAAATTCAAATCTGCTTATTAAAACCCAGGTTCTAAAACCTGCATTTTGATAATCCTTTCCAGTCATTTTATAGTGGAAAATAAGATCATGAAAAGAATATGGTATCAAAATTAGTATAAAAATAGTCACATGCTACTTAATTATGAAAAAGACCTAACCATTGTTTTACTTCAAATGCTGACTTCTGATTCTCTTAAAAATCAGGACCTAAAGGAAACTTTAATCATTAGAATATACAGAAAGTAACAGGCTAATTCAAACTAGGATTTCATCATAATCCATCACGAGCATAGGGAAAATGGTTTATTCAATACATCCATTTACTTAATATAAGTGGTCAAAGTTGGAAATACATTTTTTTAAAGTATCTTTTTCAAATAGTACATGTGGTCTTTTACCCATAAGGTTCATAGTGGGTTTACATCAAAGGAACAAAGTGGGTTTAACATTTCATTAAGAAAATTTAGCACTATCAACTTTGAAAGAAACACATATACCTTAGAAACTAATCAGTCTGCTTGACCAAATTGGAATCAAACTAATAAAACTTGAATATTCTCTACCAGGTCACAACCAATAGCCAAATTGTTAAACAGTCCTCAAAAAAGTCGGAATGTACTGTGTTGAGTTCAGTTTAGATCTGGAAGAGAAAAATACATGGGATCAAATGAAGACAATTCTTATGTTCCAGCACGTACCAAACATAAGTCACTTTAATTTCCTTAGGCTATTTGGGATATAACACAAACAGCCTGCACAACAGCCCCCCACCCCCACTCCATTCTGGTTTACTGCCAGTAAATCTTCACAATCTAACAAAAAACCCTTGCAAAATGTTCAAGATAATTCAAGTTTCATTTCTTTTTTTTTTTTTTTTTTGCTTTTTGGGTCATACCTGGTGATGCACAGGGATTACTCCTGGCTCTGCAATCAGGAATTACTCCTGGCAGTGTTCAGGGGACCATATGGGATGCTGGGAACCAAACCCGAGTGGGCCGCATGTAAGGCAAACACCCTATACGTTGTGCTCTCTCTCTAGCCCCTAATTCAAGTTTCTTACCATCTCTTTTCCTGCCAGTCTGACAGGTGATGGGCAGCTCTGAGGAGAGACTGGCACCAAATTTGTATTTTAGGCCATACCCAGTGGCACTCAGGGCTTACTCCTGGTGGGCTCCCAGGACCATATAAGGTGCTGGGGATCGAACCTGGTCAACGCTGTGTAAGGCGAATACCCTACCTAAATGTACTACCACCATAGCTCCAAATTTAGTTTCCCCCCACCCTTAGAAAAATATTAATCCTGAGCCTGAGAGATCGTACAGCAGGTAGGGTACTTGCCATGCATGCAGCAGACCTGGGTTCCACCCTGGTTGTTCCACATTGCGGTGCTCTGAGCCCACCAGGAGTGGCTTCTGGGTGCAGAGCCCAGAGTAACTCCAGAGCACTGCGAGGTGTGGCCCCCGAACAAAAAATCTAAACCAAAACCAAAACCCCCCATTAATCCTACTTAAACCTCAATCTTTGGGTATATATGACTTCCTATATACCAGAGAGCCCTGCTCTCTGGTTTAGATTCTTTTTCCTTTTCTTTCTTTCCCCACCCTGACTCCTTCTTCTGGCATCTTTGATTAAGATTTTCCTTTGTTCCCTATTTTGGTCTACTTTTTGGGGGAATGGTCACACCCAGCTTTGCTTAGTATCTCCTCCTGGCTCTGTGCTCAGAGGACTTTTGTGTTGCTGGGTGTAAAAGCCGAGTCAGATGCGTGCAAGGGAAGTGTTGAACCTGCTGACTAAACCTCCAGCACAATAACTTATTCTTTGGCTACACCTTGCAGAGCTCAGGGATCACTTCTGATGGGCTCTGGGGACCTTATGGGTTGCAGTGGATTGAATATGGGTCAGCTACAAGCAAGGCAAATGCTTTTCCTGATGTTGTATCTCTAGGGCCCTAAAGATCTTGACTTATTTATTTTTGGGTTTCATCTAGTGGTGCTCAGACTTACTCTGCACTCAGATAATTTCTGAAAGGGCTTGGAGGACCATGTGGGATGCAGTGATTGAACCTGTCTCAGCTGCATGTAAGACCAATACCCTACGGCTGTACTACTGCTCTGGACCCAAAAGACCTTGATTTTTAACAAGGTCTTAACTCAGGCCTTTGTATATGAAAGGCTTGGACGATGCCACTGAGTGTACCAGTGTGCAGCGTACCACTGTATCCACGGGACTGCGGCACCACCAAATCCCCAGGTTACCCGTCATCTGTCAATTTGCTAACAGCTATCTATCTTTCTGACGCTCAGAAAGTAGCTAAGATTTAATTGTCCTGGGAAGGGTTATTTCCAAGCAGCGTTCAGCAGGTTTGAAAGCCACACGTGGCAATGCCTTGGCACAGTGGCATGGGCCTAGTGACTTCCTAACCTAAGTGGTGCTGGGGTGACCAGGGTCAGGAGTTGGCTAAGGGATTGAACTCAGAGTCAAGTGTGTATACTACTGTATATTACTGAGTCACACATATTCTGGGTCCACTAAGTTTGGATTTACTTGAAATGTTTACAATTCATATTGCTAAAGCAAATACTAGTCTTCTCAGGAAGAAAGGTTCAAAAACATTTTAAGGATTCAAGAGTGTCAAAGAAGTTGACCACTTGTCTTCTAAACTGTAAGGTTTTATTTATTTATTTATTTTTTAACTCAGGGACTTTTTGAAAGAAATTTGTTAAATTATGTTCAAAACCCATTTCATGTGTTAAGAATTCAATTAAAGAAAATTAAAGAGAAAAATTTATTTTTCCGTGAACAAGTCAACAATGAAAATTGAAAAACCCTAAGTTGCATCTACTTACATCATCAATGTCTTCATCATCATCTCCAATGTCATCAAACTGAATTTCATCATCATCTCCAGGACCAAAGGTATCAGTTTCATTGATTTTAGCTAAAGAAAGAATAACAAATATACTGATAAAACATAATGGCTAAGATGTTATTTAAGTTCCATTATCAGAAAGATTCTTCAAACTTCTTCATACAGCACGATTTTCTACAAACTGGTTCAGTCAAAATTCAAAGTATGCATTATCATTTTCTTTTATTGCAAAGGCAGTTTAAGTAAGGTAGACGCTAATTATACTAATTCTGATCTTATCATTTATTACTGTGTATAATTTTGGCACATGCTAACTATGATTAATCACAGACTCATTAATCAGAACGATTTAATCAACTCATGCTTATCCTGAAGCAATGAAAATAAACCAGAAAGGTCTAGTCCTACTCCCAGACATTTTAGCATTTCCTAGACAGACAGAAAATGCCTAGCCAAATAATTTCAGCAGATGTTCATGGTTAAGTAAAATCAGTGTTCTACTACAACAGAGCCAAACAGAAAGACATACACTTCCCCTTTAAGATTATGAGGGACTTTATCTTATTTTACATATTCTGTTGAGTTATTTGTGTGGGGGCTGATGGACAAGGTCTTGCTTAAAAAAAAAAAAATCAACCCCCCCACTCCTAAAAAAAAAAAAACAACAAATCCAACATCCTATGGGCCACTATGATCCTGAAATAGAGACGCAGGTCAGAGAGTGAGCTTCACTGTGCTGAGCGCATGCTTTACAAGCAGAAGGCCCAGATTCACACCTTGGCACCACTGCTGAGAGTAGCCCCTGAGCATCACTAGGTGTGCCCGAAAAAAAAAAAGAAAAAAGCAATAAAAAATAGCTTTCCAAAATAAATCTGTTGCAGTACCTAAAATAATTCCTCTAGTGTTATCCAAAATTGCAGGGCAGAGAGTATATGTTCTCACCAAAAATCTACCTGGAACAGAACCCCTAATTACTCACTTGATTTTTGGGCCATGCACAGCAGTGCTCAGGGATCGCTCCCTGCCCACCATGCTCTCTGGCCCCTGCCCTGCCAATTACTTTTTTTTTTTTGAGATTATCAAGTATTATCTTATGAAGCACAGGCAGGCAAACAATAGTCCCACCTTCTCTACCTGGGATACATTCCAGGACCCTTAGTCGATGCCTGAAGAAGTGGATACCAATGAATCCAATAGATTTTCTATGATATTTATCTTCTCACAATAAAGTTTGTTACTGTGTTTGGCATATCGAGTACGTCACAGGTAGCTTGCCAGACAGTAACAAGTCTCATGATGGAGATGTTACTGGGCCCGCTCGAGCAAATCGATGAACAACGGGAGGACCGTGGCACCGTGGTACAATAAAGTTTAACTTACAAATGAGTCAGAATAACAATTATAAGAATGTACTGTAATAAAAGTTACGTGATAACTATGAGATAATAATCACAATAATCTCTTTCGAGTCCTTTTGAAGTATTATTTCAGATTGTAGTAACTCAAAACAGAAGAGAAACTGTGGCTCAAGAAGGCTACTATACTTAAAACGAATGATATGTACAAAATTATGTCAAATCCGCACAATTCTACAATAATTTGTTTATCTAAGTACCGAGAGTATTCGATATGCCAGACACAGTAACAACAAAGTCTCCAATGGAGATGTTACTGGGCCCGCTCGAGCAAATCGACGATCAACGGGAGGGCCTTTACAAAGGCCTTTTACAAAGAAGATCTAAGTACTAACAGTCAATAACAACATGATGGATTAATATAATGAGCCATTACCATGTTCTGGAAGCTCGCCATATGCTTTCAGGCTTCTGGCCTCATCTGCATTGTATTTTAAAATGACATCCGCTTTATTATCCTTAAAAGAGACAAGTATTTTAAACTATGATCTTAAGACATCCTTAGCTTTAACCCAATGTGAAGAAGTTTGCATGCATCATGAGCAGTAAGAAATAAGTTTAGGACTTCACATGAAGAAGGGAATGACCAATTTTCTGGGGGTAAAGGGGGCTCAATTTGACTCACACCCAGCAATGCTTGGGGGCTACTCCTGCAGTGCTCAGGGGAACCATGTGGAGCTGGGGATCTAACAGGGGTGAGCTGCATGCAAGGCAAGCACCTTAAGCCCTATATTATCTCTCCAGCACCAGACGCTATCTTTTTATTTACTGTTACCCATTGATTAAGCGTCTTTTTTAAATGCAAAAGCTACCTGAAGGTATACTTTACGGGATAGTGAATACTTCCATTGAAAACTGAGACTGGTATCAAGACCTAAGAAAATTAATGTATCTTTCCACCTATCAAAGGCTTTTAGAGTTATGAACAATTTAGTATCTTTGTGGAAACCATACACCTTCTAAAGATAATAAATGAATAACTCACAAATTTGCATTTAAGAAAGACTGGGTGATTCTCATTGAAACTTAGGACTGTTGTATTGCAAACTATAACACCCAGGGGAGAGAGAGAAAGAGGGAATGTGCCTGCCAGAGGCAGGGAGTAGGGGAGTGGGAAGGGATAGGGGTGGCAGGAGGGATACTGGTAACACTGGTGGACAATGGGCATCGGTGGAGGGATGGCTACTTGAACATTGTATGACTGAAACGTCATCACGAAAGTTTGTAAGTCTGTAGAAAGAAAGAAAGAAAGAAAGAAAGAAAGAAAGAAAGAAAGAAAGAAAATTAGGACTGTTCTAAGCCCATCTGGGGGGGAAAAAAAACCCAACCTGTGTTAAAAGAATTAAAGTTGATTACTTTTAACAGCAAAGATTTTTAGACCTGAAAGAGACTCAAAAGAAAGTTACCCCTGCCCTCAAAAGAAGAAAATGGACATCAAAAGAGTGTGACTTTTCTCAGCCTCAGTAGTACTGATACTCTGGCTGGAGACTTTTGAAGAACTGTACAGAGCACTGTCCCTCCCTCCCGGACACTGCCAAATGTCTCGTGGAGGAAAAAAGTACCCATGGTCGACAACCACTTATTTAACTTTTTACTTCTTTATTCTTATGCTTTATACTAAAAAGTTACAAATAAAATAGAAGTATTATTACTCACAATGTGAATTATACACATGGTGCTGCATTCTAATAGGTGGCAACCAAATGGACTTCACAGACCTTCTTTCCAAAGTGCTCATCGAAAGTCAGAGCACATACTTACATGCCGTATTTTGTGTGCCTGTTCTATACGCTCCACTACAAGTCTGTAAGCATTTTGGATAAGGGCCAGGTCATCTTCATGACTGGTTTCCAAATTTTGATTTCAAGACATAAAAGGGCTGTTGAGATACTAAAGGAAATAAGGTGCCTGTGGTGCACGAAGCAGATCCTTATTAGAGCCACGGCAATCCACACGATCCCCCAAGTACCACCAGGGCTCACTCCTGTGCACCGCTGTGTGGCCCAAACCACCTTTTCCCCGGCGCCTCCTCACCCCCCCCCACCCCATCCCTAAGAAACACAAATGAAACTACACAAACTAAGGAGGTCTGATAGAAGACTGCATTTTTATTTACCAACTAAGGACACCCACCACTGTATCATATTGTTCATTCTAAAACTACAGTATATGGCGTGAAAAATTCATGCTATTTCTTCTACAGTGAAAACATGGATGGGGCTGGAGGATAACACAGCAGGTAGGGCGTTGGCCTTGCATGCAGCCAACATGGCCGACCTGAGTTCGATTCCTCCGCCCCCTGGGAGAGCCCAGCAAGCTACCGAGATTATCTCGCCCGCACGGCAAAGCCTGGCAAGCTACCCGTGGCGTATTCGATATGCCAAACACAGTAACAACAAGTCTCACGATGGAGATGTTACTGGGCCCGCTCGAGCAAATCGATGAACAACGGGAGGACCGTGAAAATGTGGATGCCACATACTGATATTTGGAAACGATAACCCCCAGGGTACCTAGTACAAAGTCCACCTGAGACATACTTGCCCTGAAGTATCTGACACAGTGGTGAACAGCTATATGGTGCTCAAATACATACTGGTGACCAAATATGGGACTGGTTTGTTTTAATAACAGCTGATTAAATTCAAGGAAATGAACAATAAATATCCTGATTTTACCTGGTAGTCTCGTAAGCCGACCAATATAATGTCTGATGTATTTATCCAAACCTATTAAAGAAAACGCATTACCGTTATATTTAAAATAAAAACAAAGAACCAAGAGCAAAACTGAGTTAATCTCCTCATAAAAAGTATACATACTATTTGCTAATTATTGGCAAAGTACTTATACTCAGAAATAAGGGGGGAATTCTAGCGCAAACAGCCAAGCTTATTTCAATTTTTCTATACTATGGTAAATCAAGGAAAGTAAGTCTTGTTTTGATTACCTGACACTAAAGGGGGAGGGAGAGGTGGAGAGAGGGGGATATCTGCCAAAGATATGCTGCAGGGGAGTGGGTGGAAGGGAAACTGGGGATACTGGTGGCAAGAAATGGGGAAATATACACTGGTGAAGGGCTAGGCGTTAGAACACTGTATGACCAAAACTCAGTCATGAACAAGAACTGCGCATCTCAGTGATTAAAAAAAAAAAACTAACAAGGAAACACCACAGGAAATCATTTCCCCTCTTTTGGCTTCGTTGTGGTGGTAACCAAGGGTCACGCAATTTGTTTTGCCAGGAGATCGCACTTGGCTGGGAACAGACCCCTTGGATTTAATACCTCTAAAGCGGGTACTCAACTACTGGGCTCCAGAATTAACTTTCAATTGTGAAATACTCCAAATGTCTCGTTAACCCATCTATTACGTATGAGAACAGAAAATTAGTTCCGTGGACTGATTTCCCTTTCTCATAACCACCAATCTAACCAGTGGCATACACTAAGGTGGTTCAACAAGGCAAATTAACAAAATAAAACAAGTCACTAGGCCAGATAGTACAGTGCACAGGTAAGGCACTTGCCTTGCACACAGCTAACTTGGGTTTGATCCCCAGCACCATATAAGGTGTCCCGAGTAGCACCAGGAGTGATTCCCGAGCTCAGGGCCAGGACAAAGCCCTGAGCACTGCTGGGTGTTGTCCCCCCCCCCCAATAAAATAAAACAAGTCATAAAATTCATAGCTGCAGGGAAATATAACTTAATAAGAAATTTGCCCACATACCTAATGTGATGGAAAATTATTCATTACTTCCCAAGGCAACTCATTCATGACCACAATTCAGGAATCTAATCAATAATAATTATTTTAAATGTTTCCAGGGCTTTATTTTAGTTACTTTCTCCACCCTCTCAGCAGAATCCAAACAAGAGCAATCTATGACATGAATCCATTAGTATTAACACCATTTAAACTGGAATAGTCCCATCTTTTCCTGACACCAATTAAAAGAATATATTTGTAGTAACAAGATGGCTTTTTTTTTGGATTTTTGAGTCACAGCCGGCGATGCTCAGGGATTATTCCTGGCTACACTCAGGAATGACTCCTGGCGGTGCTCATGGGACCATATGGGATGCTGGGGATCGAACCCAGGTTGGCGGCGTGCAATGCAAATGCCCTCTCCACTGTGCTATCACTCCAGTCCCTATTGTAACAAAATTAGAACATTGTTAATTCTCATGGCACTGATGAATAAATAATACTGATGAAACATTATCTCTCCAGCGTTTCTGTGTACACGCTGGAATCTATTCCTCTTTCCCCACTTCATAATCTGTTGTACAAAGGCCAGGGGCTTGACTTCAATCAACAAGTATTTATTCCCTTATTTTGTTTATCATATAATGAGTGATCATCATCTGGTGTTTGTTCTTTTGCCTCTAGTTTTCTGAACATGATGCCCTTCAGTTCCCTCATTTTTTTCTTACAGCTGTGTAGTATTCCGTTGAGCACATACACATCTTTATCCCTTCACCTGTCGTTGGAAACTGGACTGCTTGCATATCCTAGCTATTGCACTCAGCAGCGCATCTGTCTTTTTGATCCGACACACCATTTTAGTGGTGTCAGGGATCAAACCCAGGGCCTCCCACAAGGACGGCAGTAAGTGAAATGCTCTATTACTAAGCTATACTCCTGGGATTTGAAATTAACATTTCATTAAGAACCAAGACAGTAATTTGCTTCACAGATACCCTCAACTTTGATTTTTTAATATTTTTAATTTTAAAAAATTTTGGGGTCACATCCTGCGATGTACAGGGATTACCCCTGGCTCTGCACTCAGGAATTACTCCTGGCGGTGCTCGGAGGACCACATGGGATGCTGGGTTAGCCCCATGCAAAGCAAACGCCCAATCCACCTTACTATCACTCCAGCCCTCAACTTTTATTTTTTCATTGTTTCACCATGATTAAATTCAAGTTAGACATTTGTGACAGAAGTACAACACTGGTGATATAAATGTCTTTAAATAGAATCTGGATGAGACTATAGTTATACACCATCTTAGAGGTGAAACCATTGTTCTACTGACCTTTAAGGAATTAACAAAACTGAGGTTACCAGAGCCACTTGCCCTCACCTTAAGCCTAATTTTTTATTTAGTAAAAGCAATCTTCACACCTACCTTTTTCCTCAGTTTCCCTCTGATATGGCATAACCTCTTTACGCCATCAAAACACATTGCCTCTAGTCGTCCATTCCCCAACATTTTGATTACTTGAGCATACTCTGGAGGAAGGAGAGAAAAGGGTACAGAATATTCAATCTCTGATAAAAGCAAACCTAAAGTCCAAAGAAAACCGAGTACATAGTAGTATCAGTTGGGAATACATATAGGCAATATAATCAATACAAGAGAGTGATACTTACTCATCTAGCTAACAGCAGAGACAAAAACGACCCTAATGCCAAGTAATCACAAATGCTAATGAATTTCCTACTGATTTTGAGTCAAGTCACTGCTGCCTCTTCATGAGTATATACTCTACTTTGAGATTAAGTCCTGCCCCTAAATATACACCGTTTCTAATCAATCTTCCACCATTGACTCCTTGTCCAATTTGGGGTTTCCTTTCCCTCAGAACCTTTAGATAATATTCTGAATCCAGTTTTTGGTACAGCTGGCAAATGAAGTAGCTTAAAAGTTAAAGACTGTTAAATTATCTTAGTGATTATTCTAAGGATTTTGTAAAGCTAGAAAAATGTTCTTGGGCAAAATGCTAAACCTCAGAATCTTTTCAAAATGGTTCCCAGGAAGTTGCTCAGTTTCACTACCACTTGAAGAACTCTTAAGATTATAAGCATTAAAAAAAAATCAAGTTTTAGAAAAAAGATAAACTAAATTAATTGTTAAATGTGCTGGAAATTGGGGCTGCAGCCATACACTGCAGAGAATGCTTGCCTTGTGTGTGGGGTTTGATCCCTGCCCGGAGTTGGTCCCTAGTTTCAGACAGGAATAAGCTCTAAGAACAGCCCGGTGTAGCCCAAAACCGAACACATACCTCCCTCAATAAATGCTGGAAACTGGGGGTGGTTTAATACAGCAGGTAGGAGTCTTTACCCTGCATGGCAGACCAGGGTTCAATCCCCAGCACCCTGTATGGTCGAGCCAGCCAGGAGTGATCCCTGAGTACAGAGCTAGAAGTTGGTACTGAACTGGGTTGTGAATGACTCCCAACCCCAATGAAGTGCTGGAAACTATTGGCACACAAAGAATAATTTGAATTATAGACTATACTTGTATACACGCAAAAAAAGCCTATATTTGTCAATTATTTGATTGTAATTTAGTTAGAAGAAAATATACTTGTTATGAGAAATGATGTAGGAAGTTTCACAATGTCCACTACTTTTTTTTTTTTGCTTTTTGGGTCACACCCTGCAACATACAGGGGTTGTAATTCCTGGCTTTGCACTCAGGAATTACTCCTGGTGGAGCTCTACCTCGGGTCCTGAGGTTTGAAAGTACTCACAAACTGGGGCTGGAGGAGTCAGAGTGATAGTACAGAGGGTAAGGCTTGTATGTGGCCGACCCAGGTTTGACCTCTGTATGTGTTTGTGTCTTGTATGTGGCCGACCCAGGTTTGATCTCTGGCATCCTATATGGTCCCCCCCGAGGATCAGGAGTAACCCCTGAGCATCGTTGGCTGTGACCCAAAAAAAGGGCCAAACAAAGAGCCAAAAACAACCTAAAAACTGGGGCTGGAACTATAGCACAACAGGTAAGACACATGCCTTGCATGCAGCCAACCTGGAGTCTATCCTTAGAGGAAAGAGCGTGAAGATTGTTGCATTACACCCAGGGATCACTAAGCCCTTCTATAAGAGATCACTAGGTTGAGTCTTGTGGGCTTTTTACACAGGTATCTGTCACTGTTCTCCTGTTGTTCATCGATTTGCTCGAGCAGGCACCAGTAACATCTCCATTGTGAGACTTGTTACTGTTTTGGCATCGAATAGATCACAGGTAGCTTGCCAGACTCTACAAGAGGGGCAGAGGAATCGAACCTGGGTTGGTCGTGTGCAAGGCAAACCCCTTACCTGCTACGCTATCTCTCCGGCCCATGTATCTATTTAAAAAAAAAAAAGGTGTATTTTCCCTGTAAGATTGGTTGCTTCCTACTTTGAATACTTTGAACCCTATCAAATGTGTTGCCGTAATCTTGGGAGCACGGGTAGGGTGTACGGTTTGAAGTATCACGCAGCCGAGGAATAGATTCACTCATGGGTGAGGCTCAGCCCAATCATGTAGCGAGCGGCCGTGAGCATGGCAGCGGCTGGGTTCTGGAGATTGTTGGCTACTGAGGCTGGGTCCCTCAGGGAGGGGAGGGGTCTAACTCACCCCCTTCCAGGGCGTCGAGTGAAGCAGCCTGGCGTGGGGTCCAGCGGCATGGTTACAGCCATAAATCTTAATTGTTTCAAAACGATCAAATCCTGTCTTTTTGTTTTTTGTTTTTTAAATAAACTATAGGGGCTGGAGTGATAATATAGCAGGGAGGGCATTTGCCTTGTATGTGACCAACCTGGGTTCAATTCTCCAGCATTCCATATGGTTGCCTGAATACCTCCAAGAGTAATGTGACCCCCCCAGAAAAAAACCATAAAAATAAAAAATGAAACTGTATTACTAATGGCCATGCAAAGGGCCTATAAAGGCTTTGTCAGACTCGTGCCTCAAACATCCACTGTTTGAGGAACATTATGTAGAAAGATTTATTGTCCAAAAAATCTTGAAGGATTGTAGAGACAGATTTCTCAAGGAGCTGCAAATATGCTTGGCATGAGGGAGGCCCACGCTTGATCCTCGGCACCACCTGATTCCTGGGGGTGACACCTGAGTACTCTCTTCTGTGGGCCCCAAATAAAGCCAGAAAAAAAACTGTGAAGCCACTCAGTTAAGGGTTAAAGTATATAGGAATATGCTGGGATGACAAGCTTTCTGCTGCCACCTACAGCAGAATAATACAAATGAGAAATGCAAAGCAGCCTGGTAGCTCCAGGTCCACCTCTCTTGTCCTTTTTGAAGCTGTAGCCAATTCCTGCTATACCAGCATTTTCTCAGATCTTAGATCTCCTATGACATTCCTGAGTCTGCAATGGCTCCCGTTTGTGCGTCCTATCCTTCCCTCCTCCGGGGCCACTCCTAGCAGAGCTGAACCCTTTCCAATGGTTTTCATTCCTGTGAGGTTTCCAAAGCAACAAGAGGCCAGAGAACTAGTGCAGGGCATTTAAGTACAGGGCATTTAGGCGCTTTCTTTGCTCATGGCTGATCCTGGTTTAATCCCTGATACTGCATATGGTCCCCTGAGCACAGAGTTAGGAATAACCTCTGAGCATTGCTGATTGTGGCCCCCAAACAGCAAGAAATTGGCCACCACAGTTCTTAAGGCTTAATTTTAACTTATACTTAATAGCCTATTCATTCTTAGATATGAACGCTCACAAAAGACAATGAAACCTGTATGTTTATAAAAATGCCACCAATACCAAAATTTCCCAGTGCAGGCTGAATAGACCAAGAAATGACTTTAAAGGAAAGGCTCTGGAAAATTGTGAGGGCGAAGAAAAGAAGTGGGGACAGAGTGATATAGTACAGTGGATAGGGCACTTGCCCTGCACAGAGCTCAATCCCCAACATCCCATATGTTACCCTAAGCACTGCCAATAATAACCCCTGATCATTACCAGGTGTAGCCCAAAAACAAAGAAAGAAAAAAAAAAGGAAAAGAGTAAGAAGGACATGCCATTATCCCCCCCAGGCTTGTGAACTTATGATTAAATCTTTAATATCCATAATTTTAAAGTTTTACCAGAAAAGAACCTAACTTACTAAAAAACTTACCTTGTCCATCCTCTTTGAACACAAGTTCTCTTTTTTCGGACTCATTCTCATTCTTACCTCTGCGTCTATTTTTTCCACCTTTACCTAATGGGTTTAAAGAAAAGGATATTAATTATCTGCAAAGCAGTAGGAAAAGAAACTAAGACTTGAAACACATGTTTAAAGCAATCACTTAAATTAAAAAATTCACCCAATTCATCGTCATATGCAATTTATAATGTTCAATAGTATTAAAAACAAATACACATAAATGCCTTCTGGAATATTGCGGGTATAAAACACAAACCCAAAGCAGATTATTATGTGCAAATATGCAGACCCCTTTCTGAGGACATATGCATTTAATGACCCAAATGCACTGGATCATTAAGAGAATCACCTACTTGTCTGAACAAATTGCTCAGTGAATCCTCAGAGTGGCCCCAGGGCCAGGGAGACAATATCAGAGGTACAACACTGACCCTGGTTTTATCTCCAGCAGGGCATATGGTCCCCTGAGCACTGCTGGGACTGATTCCTGTGCAGTCAGAGGTAAGTCCTGAGCACACCCAGCAGTGGCCCCAATACAAAAAAAAGGGGGGGTAATAAAAAAAGGCCAAGTAAGAGAATAAAGATACCACTGGTATAAAAATAAAGGGAAATAGGGCTGGAGTGCATGCAAAGCATGCCGGGAGTCCCAGGTTTGATCCTGCAAGGTCCCCCAGCTTCTCACTAACAGTGGCCCCTGAGCACCATGAGGTATGGCCCTGGAAAATAACATCAAAAAAATTGCTAATTCATAAAATCTCTTGAAGGATGTCTACAAGAGTCAACAATCATGTGGAATTGGCAATAAGGAAATTGAGGAAAAGCACCTCATTATTTATACTTCCCGGTATCTGAACTGAGAATATATTTACTATTCACTGAATCTCCACTAAAAAATACTTCCACAAAAAGCAGAGGTTTGCCCTCTGGGCTGGCAAACTGAAAGGCAGCTCAAGTGGCCGCTGCCAGAGACACCTTGGATCCCTCATGCTGTTGATTTTGAATTAATGTTTTGTCTTTGCACATCCAGAAAACGTTTGCTGCTGACCAATACTCTGATCCCCCATATTCAGTTATGAATGTCGTGACCCACAATTTAAGAAGCTAGGGTCTAGTTATGATGAGGAAGGGAAAAAGAAATGCCTGAGATGGAAACAAGAGACCTATGACCAGATGAAGAGTGAAAGAAGAGTAAAAGATGCACAGCCCTTTTATCCAAAAAACCTCTTTAGACCTGGAGTAGTAGTACAGTGGGTAAGTCACTGGCCTTATATGTACCCGTCCTGAGTTTGATCCCCAGTACCTGCTATGGTCCCTCCAGCCTACCAGGAATGATCCCTGAGCTTCGTGAAGCAAGATTAAGTAAACCCTGCTACGTGCGGGCCAACACTAAAAAAACAAAAAAACCCACACAAAACAAAACAAAACAAAAAAACCCACACACCTCTCCAGGGCTGGGAAAGGTGGTGGTGAAGATGTTTGCCTTGCATTCAGCCGACTTCAGTTATGGTCTCCCAAGCATTTCCAGGAGCAAGACATGAGCAGAGTCTGTCTGAAGAAACACCCCAGCACCTTCAAGTTTGATCTTACCCCCCAACCCTCCCAGGATCTCAGTTCCAGTCTCTGTGAAAGGACAAAGAACCCAAATATTCCTCACCTGCTACCATTAAAATTCTTAATCTTAAAGGTATCCTTAAAACCCCTAATTTGGGACTGAAGCAATAAGACAGCGAGTAAGGCACTTGCCTCGAAAGTTGCTGACCTGGGTTTGATCCCTGGCACCACATATGGCTGAGTCTGAGTAGGAGCACAGAGCTAGTAGCAGGTCCTGAGCACTGCTGGGTGTGACCCCCAAACCAAACCGAAACAATGAAAGCCTCTTATTCTTCCCATCCCCTCGTTTTTCAGACTGTAAATGATACTACCCATCATTTCCTGGCTGTCCTTTTCCTGACTTGCACTATTCTTGACCATTCAGCTGCCTTTTAATTATGCCCAGCCCACCGAGATTTCTTACTTGAGTGTCTGAGGTGTTCTTGGCACACACAAAAACTAACTTCCTGGGAAGAAATGCTGCTTCTGCATCAAGTCGTTATTTATGCCAAATCTTAATAAATAAATAAATAAATAAAATATATATAAGCTATATTAGGGCCAAGGAACTTATCTGCTTGGCAATTTTTGAGGACGAATCTTCAAAATTTCTGGGTGAAATAAGCTGATAAGAATCAGTCCAATTCATTCAACACAAAGTTCCTGACAACATAAACCTTTACTTGTATAACCATCAAGAGTATATTCACAGGGCTCGTGCCGATCCAATAAAGAAAAACGCCAATCTGTTGTCTATTAGTAAATAGAATTTCACAAAATGTAGGTGTCTTGAGAAGTACTGCCCCTCTAAGAAAGATAACAGACAGACTGGCTTTACATGTCCAGGAGTGGCAGCCACGAAATTCAGAATGGTGGTTAACTGGAGAGACAGAGAGATCTGGAGAAGGGGCCTCGGGAGGGGAGTTGGGGGGCAGGAGCGACAGGACACAGAAGCTTCTGGAAATGTGTCCCAATTCTCAAGTTTAGAGCAATGAATTCCCAGGTGTTCATTACTTTGTTTATGGCATGCTCAAATTTAACAGGAATGATTCATCGCTTGTCAACTTACCAGAACTGACTATACCCTGACCACCCCCTTCTCTCTTTTGTTACCTGGTCATAGAATGAACTTTTAAGAGGCTAGTGAACTAGAAATGACTTCATGAACAAGTGCTATTCCCCTTGAAACCAAAGAGAGACCTCTCATTCACCCAAGGGAAGAGACCAAAGTAGGGAGATGAGTTACTGCAACAAGTACTTACTGAGCACCTATTATTTAATCAAGCATTTCAATGTGGATAAACCAGTGTCACTGACCTTTATAATATGCGTCTAGTAAAGGAACTGGAATCTCATAGCTAGACATATAGGTGAGAATAAGATTTATTTTTTGAAATAATAGTTATCTCAGAAACAATAAAGGATAATACAGGTTATAAGATATCTAGGACTTCTGAATCCTTAGTTCGACCACGTGGTCTTCCCCAGAATGATCGGTACTAAAATCTTTGTTTAAAAAAAGGACCTACAAGTTCTATTTCCGAGCAGGTGTTCTGAAGAAACTGTACCCAAATGCCCCTCGGGATACAGCGGGCAGAGGACAGAAAGAAGTCCTGGAGCAAAATTGATGAGAAAAAAAAAAAGAAAAAGAACAGAGCCTCAGGTGAAGACTAGGGTCGAGGATGATACTCAAAGGAAACTTGTGGTTAAGCAAATGCTCCTCTCCCGCAGAACCATCTCCGTTTCTAGCTGCACAATTTCCAGTGGTGAAATGACAAGACTGACCAAATTATAAATTTGGTCAATTATAAACTTGGCCAAAAAAAAAAAAAAGACAAGAGACACCCAGGAGTCTCCTTAAAATAAATAAATTAATTAAAAAGGAGCATTTCCTTAGGACTCCTCTGCTTTTCCCTATCTCCCTGTCTCACGCCTTCCAGTTTGAAATTTCCTGAATAAATGGACCTTGAAATTGATCTTTCACTCTAATACCCCGGGACCGTTTCCCTGCGGTATAGATGGGAAACTTAGTTGCAACTCCCGCAATACACAAGCCCGATGAGAAGAGCCAAAACCAAAGCCAGAAAAAAAAAAACCCGGGCCAAATAAGAAACAAAGTGTTGAGTGTGTGTGTGTGTGGGGGGGGGGGGCGGGGGGGGGGAATCCCAAAAAGAGATCGGTTCCCCCCACAGCCCGCCAGAAGGCGCGTCTCTAGACAGACCTTAAGAAGGCATCAGGTTTGGATTCCCGTTGATAGGGGAGGGAGCAGCCTTGGCCGCTGTCCAGTAAGATACCCAGGCGGAGGGGTCGCGGGCGCCGGCCAAAGCCCACAGGCGCCCGCGGGAGGGAGGCAGGCCCGACGAAAATGGCGTCGGCTCCACCCCGATGGACCCGAACTTCCCAGCTCCGCTCCCGAGCCCGGCGCGGCGTCCGGCCGGCGCCGTGGCCGGTAGGCCACGAGTGGAGAAAGGTCACTGCGGCCGGGCGGCGGGCGGGATCGGGGAGGCCCAGCCTGCGAGCCGGGAAGCGAGCGGAGCCGCATTCCCCCACGCCCGGAATGTTACCTTTATTCTTGGGCATGGCGGTGGCGGCAGCGGCGGCGGCGGCGGCCTCGCGGCGTGTCTGCTTTTCACTCGCGGAACGGCGGAAGCGGCGGCCTGTTCGAGAGGCGCGAACGGCGGAGAGCGCGACCACGCGTAACCAAGTAGTGGCGGAAAGAAGGCTCGCGTGCGCGGGAGCGTCTCAAGCCCCACTTCTTCCCAGACCTGCCTACACTCACGCTCGGCCGGAGGAAATGGCGTCGCGGCTGCTTACGTCACCTTTCCCCGCCTCCCCTCTCCTCGAGCCCGCCCCCGGGCCCTAAGGCGCAGGCGTGGCCGGCCGATGGCCTATCACGAACGCCAAGGAAAACGCGTTCCTCGCAATTCGCCGACGTCAGCGGGGGGGCGGGGCTTGAGCTGAGAGGAAGGCGGGCCGACGGGGCGGGCGGGGCCGCTGCGTCAGAGCCCGGCGCTGATTCATGCGGGGTTGGGAACGCTTGTGAACAAACCCGTATCTCAGGCTTTGCGCTGCATCCTCATTGACTCTGCTCACAGCAAACTTTGTTCGGTTTGGAATTTTAACTTTCTTTCTAGGCGCTGAGATTTGCAAGATTGTTGTTACGGTTTCATGTATAAAACGTTCCAGCACCACACCGTCCCCCAAAGTGTCCCCAGAGTGTCCCCTTCATTCCATCATCGTCCCAGTATCCTCCCTATGCCCCACATGGTAAACTTCCTACTGAAGGCCAGTTGTGTTTGTTACCTTTGGACATTTATTTCCTTATCATTCTTTTTATCCCACATAGGAGAGCGATAATGCAGTTAAGTTTAAATCCAGTCTTTCCTTTCTCGCAGCCAGGTTTGGGGTCTGAGGCTTTCTTCTAATGTCTTACCAAAGCATAGTATTTGTATAATACTTTTCCTTTATAATATCCATCTTCCCTGTCTCACCATAAACTACTAAGCAAAGGCATCTATGTTACCAACACTCAGCCCAGTGCCTGGTTCTTAGTTACTCAACAATAGGAAGGAAAGAAGAGGAGGAAAGACAAGTGACATGAACTGAATCATGTCCTTCCATTTCATTTACTTATTTTTTCTTTTTTGGGGGGGGGTTCACACCCGGCAATGCACAGGGGTTCCTCCTGGCTCTGCACTCAGGAATTACTTCTGGCAGTGCTCAGGGGACCATATGGGATGCTGGGGATCGAACCCCAGTCGGCTGCGTGCAAGGCAAACGCCCTACCCGCTGTGCTAACGTTCCAGCCCCAATTTTCTATTTTTTAAAAAAAATTTTAGTGAATCACCGTGAGGTACAGTTACCACACAGTGGAAATGTTCTTCCATTTCATATCTGAATCTTTCAGCCCCAGTACTTCACAATATGACTGCATGAGAACACAGGGTCTTTATTTTTTTTATTAAATTTATTTATTTATTTATTGAATCACTGTGGGAAAGGTTAAAACGCTTTCAGGTTTATGTCTCAGTCATGCAAATATCATACACATTTCCCTTTACCAATACTTATTTTTTACCATGAAGAACCCCAATAAAACCCCACTCCCCACCCCTCCCAGTCCCTGTGAGGCAGATGAATTCTAGTTAACACTCTATCTGCTTTGATTAGATTCATTGTTTCAATAAAAGATTCACCACTATTATTTAGAGTTTACCCCCCCCCCAATCAGACATGCTGAAAAAGCATAACATAGGGTCTTTAAAGATGTAATCAAGTTGAAAGGGGATGCAATCCATAGTGTGGACCCTAAACCAAAGGAACAGGTGATCTTTTACAGGGGAAGTTAACTGGTGGAGAGTGGTGTCAGGTAAAGATTTCATGTAATGGGTGATTTCAATCATGCCCCCTGAAAAGATATCTCGTCATATTAGATTATGGATCTGCTGTGGGTGGGAGGAAATAGGAGATCAAAGGCAGTCCTCAACCAGGCATCTTCTCTTTGTCCCCTCACCTACACCAGATGGATGACACAGTAGCAGAGCTTCGCAGCCACATGCACCTGATCATAACCAGAGCCTGAAGAAGCGAAGGGCGCAGGGAACCGCTTGGCATACAGGACTAGAAAATCCCAGTGATATATTACAGAGGAATCAGCCCCAGCAATGGTGACAGGGTTCAGGGTTCCAGCTACAGATTTTAAATCAGGAACGTGTACAATCCAGGTGTAAGGACAAGACCAAGCCATCGTGCACTTGAAGTGGGCAGACAGATGGCGGCGCAGGGGCAAGATCATGACATCCTCATCTGGACCGGACCTGGGGGATAGGATGTCATACAGGGGTTAAATGAGGGGCCAGAACGTTGGCGAGGGGCCTGCACTCCTCGACTAAAAACTGTACAATAAGCTTGTACTTCTTTGGCAACTGAGTTCTGTATAAAATCTTTGATAAAATCCTCAAGGACTTTGAAGCCCAGGAATACATCCACTTTTGTGGCAACATCCCTGTAAGAAGAGAGTAGGGGGTTGGAGCGGTAGCACAGAGGGTAGGGTGTTTGCCTTGCACGGAACTGAGCCGGATTTGATTCCCAGCATCCCATATAGTCCCCTGAGTACCACCAGGCGTAATTCCTGAGTGCATGAGTGAGCCAGGAGTAACCCCTATGCATCGCCGGGTGTAAAGCAAAGAGAGAGAGAGAGACAGACAGACAGAGACAGAGACAGAGACAGAGACAGAGACAGAGATTAGGACACAGGCAGAGGGTGAACGTGGCTTGGGCAAGAAGGTGGCTATCTACCAGCCATGGTGAGCCCTATGCAGAAACACTCGGACACCCTGAGCTCAGATTTCTAGCCTCCAAGCCTCCAGAACAGCAAGGAAATTTATGTTCTTGTTTGAGTGACTGTGGTACTATGGCAGCCCCTGCAAAGGCATATGGGGACTATGCAGGATGACTTCACCGTGCACAGTGTTTTATGGTCTTGTTCGCATATTTATTTTTATTGAGGTTCTGTGATTTTTAGGACCATTGTTTCTCATGCGCATCATCCCAATGCCACGTCCATCACCAGTGCACCTTCCTCCCTCCCTCAAGAACCCCAGTGCGCCTGTCCTTTTCAACATCCCCCTCCCATCTCAATTATGTGGTTCAGATCTCCTGTTGCATGCCTTTGGCCCTAGCTTGCTACTTTGCTGTGTATCTTTAAGTGTCACATGTGAGAGAGATCATTCTTTTTTTTTTTTAAGTCAGAGCTTTTTAATTTTTTTTTTCCTTTTTGGGTCACACCTGTGCGGGGATTACTCCTGGCTCTGCACTCAGGAGTTACTTTGGGCGGTGCTCAGGGGACCATATGGGATGCTGGCAATCGAACCCCGTCGGCCGCGTGCAAGGCAAACGCCCTACCCGCTGTGCTATCTCTCCAGCCCCGAGAGAGATCATTCTTGGATTTGTCCTGTTACTTCCGTGACTGATTTTGCTCAGCATATCCTCTTGTTCCATCCACGAGGCGGCCAATTGCATGAATAGCTTCACATTTCTAAACAAATAACTCCATATATAAGTACCATCTAAAATAACAGTTCTGCTAACATTAGGTTTTCAATATTATCTTTTTAGGGAAATGCACACTTAAGAGGCAGAAAGAACTATCAGAGAACACAGTGATTCTCTGGTGGGGACAGTTGATGGCATCTGGAGATATTCCTGGTTTTCACCACTGCAGGAGGATAGTGCTGTTAACACTAAGTGGGCAGAGGGCACCGACACTGTTCAACATTTTACAGGGCATAGTACAGGTTCCCCCAAACAAAGCATTATATGGAGTTGGATATACGACACCCATGGCAAATGAACTTCTCAAAGGGAAACTGAAATGGTATTTAAAAAGGATCCACGGTGGTGGAGAATGGGCATTGGTGGAGGGATGGGTACTCGATCATTGTATAATTGAAACCCAAGCACAAAAATTTGTACGTCTACAACTGTACCTCATGGTGTTTCACTAATAAAAAAAATAGCCACAAAAAAATAAAAATAAAAAGGATCCACGGGGTTGCCCAGTGATTGCCTCAGTGTCTGCAGGTATCTGTGTTGGAAGTGTGAGGCCCTGATTTGGAACTCCTGTGCATCTCACATGCACCAAGACTGCTTCTGACAGCTCTGCTGTCTGGGACCCTGGGGGACACCACTGAGTGTGCCATTTTCAGCACGCTGTCACGTGAGCATGAGAACTCTAAGGTGTGTGAACCCTGGTGAGACCAATAAAAAAATGTCAACAATTTTCTTAAATTTTCTTCTACGGGGAGCTGGAGTGATAGCACAGTGGATAGGGTTAGGGTTAGGGCTGACCCGGGTTCAATTCCCAGCATCCCATATGGTCCCCTGAGCACCACCAGGAGTGATTCCTGAGTGCAGAGCCAGGAATAACCCCTGTGCATTGCCAGGTGTGACCCAAAAAAGCAAAAAAAAATTGTTTTTCTTCTACGGAAATGTTTTATGGTCATTTTGTTAGTCAATTAGTTGTAACAAGCACTATAAAATAAGTTATTCTGGGCCTGCTATGGGGGCAGGCTTGAAGGGTGGTTGGGAAAAGAGAGACAATTTTGGAGGGAAGGTGACACTGATGGTGGGATCGGCGTTGGAAAATTGAATGCCTATAACAAATCTTTACGAACAGCTTTTTAAATCATAGTTTAAATAAAGTGGCGAAAAGAAAAAAATGTGAGCACTGCAGCCAGGAGCATGATCCCTGGGGAGCACAACAAATTGTGTGAAACCCCTGGTCATTCCAACAGTCAGAAAGGTAAGGAAGAGGGTAAAATCAAAAAAATCTAAAGAGGATTGGGTGTGTAGCTCAGTGATACAGCACTTGTCTTGTGTTAGGTTTTGGGTTTGATTCCCTGCAATGCAAAAATAAATAAATTTACAATGATCTGAAAGTCCCAGCGTTCTCCTATTTGCAGTTTATGCACTTGAGGATGCTAATGTAACTGTAAAGTTTATCTAAATGTTTTTCCAAGGCCAAATGATGATGACGTTGGGCTTTGGGATTAGAGGTCTGATTTCAAATTTTAATTCTGCAGCAATTTATTTTATTCGTTTGGAGAAGTTAGTCAACCTCTTTATTAGTCTCAGTTTTCTCAGCTGTGAGTTGGTAGCAGGAATAGTACTTTGCACAGTGGGTTCTTGCAATAAATTGATCTAATACATTTATTGTTCATGGATCGTGCCTATCATAGAGTAAGTAGTCGGACTCCAAATGTTTGTTAAGTTCAAATATTTAAAAATCAAAAGCCTGTCATACGAACGCACCTCCATAAGCCAGGCATTTGTGTGATTCTTGGTCATCCCAACACTAAGAACAAGGAAGGGAAGGGAAGTGGGTGGGTTGGAATGATAAAAACTAGGAAAGCCCCTGTTAACTACTCAATATAACCCCAAAAGGAGAAAAACATCAGGTTTTATTTTTCTGTTATCTGATGGATCCCAGGTCTGATAATCAAACTTACTTGAAAGAAAGGAAGTCATGGAACCATACCTAGGCAGAGAGAACAGCAAGGACCAAGACAGTGGATAGAAACTTGGCATATTCAAGGAACAGCAAAAATGCCACACAGACAAAGAGTGCAGCAAGCCGGGGATTGATGGTGTTCAGGAAGATGAGCTTGGAGAGGTAAGGAAATCAGATTATTTGTTATAATCCTCAATAGATTTTGATCTCTCAGGTTTATGCAGTTTCCAGATGGGTCTAGAGAAAGTAAAGTCGTTTGCTTTACCTATGGCAGACCCCAGTTTAATCTCTAGTAATACATGGTTTTCCAGAGTGACAGCCCACAGGCACTGATATTGTGGTTCAAATAAACCAACTCAAAAAAAAATTGTAGAACTGCAAACCACAAGGATGGTTAGAGACACCATGCAGTAGTCCTCGCAAGATGATGGTGGTCTGGACTAGCATACAAGGGATAGAAATTCTGATAAAGAGTGTAAATATTTGGGGCTGGAGAGATAGTATGGGGTTAAGGCACTTGCTTTGCATGCTGCTGACCCTGGTTCAAACCCTGGCACCTCATAGTTCCCCGTGCATCACCAGGAGTAAGCTGTGAGCACAGTGAGGTGGTGTGGCCCCCAAACCAAAGTGTACCTTAAAGAGAGATATAGGGCATTTTGGAATTAAGTCTAATTATCTTGGTGCCTGCTCAAGCAAATCGATGAACAACCGGAGGACAGTGCTACAGTGCTTCTCAAAGATTGTTTCCCTTGTGCTTGGTGATCACCCTTTGAATCATTAAATTTGGAATTAAGGCAAGAGAAAGTTTATTTGGTTTTGTATGTGGGGGGAGGGCTCACATTGTCAATGCTCAGGGTTTACTCCTGGCTTTGCACTCAAGAATTACTCCTGGCATTGCTTGGGAGGACCACAAGGGATGCTGCTCAGGGGGGCCATATGGGATGCCGGGGATTGAACCCAGGTAGGCCGCGTGCAAGGCAAACACCTTACCTGCTCTTTTACTCCAGCCCCTAGAGAAACAGTTTAAAGGGCTAATTTTGCATGCTTGGGGCTGAGGTTCAATGCAGGCACTGCATGTTTTCTCTCTACCCCTACTGCATCAGGAGTGACCCCTGAGAACTGTCATATATAGCCCCCAAATAAATGGAAGAGAAAATAGTACAGCTGACAGGGCATTTGCTATGCACATGGCCAACATGGGTTTGATCCCTGAATGCAGCCAGGAGTAAACCTGAGCAATGTTGGGTGTGGCCCCCCAAAAATGAACGCCTCCACCCCAAATAGGCATCGGGTGGGATCTGACTAAATCTTACTTGACAGACTTTTTGGGTTACCAGGACTGCACAGAAAAATGATTTTGTAATTCTTATTAACTTGGGAACATTTTTGTTTTAGTTCTTTCAATTGAACTTGATAAATGTATACTTCATGTAAGATGATTTAATAATGGCTAATCATATAATCAAAATAATCTGATAAAGGGACATACATGCATTTATTTGAAACTTTATTATATAAATTTTTGTTTCTTTTAAAGATTACAAAACCTGTTCTTTGACAGGAATACAAGCAATATTGTTCCAGGATTATTCATGGATACATCTGAAAGAGCTTATACATTAATAGTATGATTTGAAAACTTCCCAGATTAGACTCTGAAGGAAAACAATTTAAAGTATTCAGTGATATTTGATCCTTTACAAGCACTTTATAATTATGGCGCAATGCCAAGCATCTGATGCAATTTAACCATCAATAAAAGGTACAATACATATTAACTCATAATATGGTACCTTGGGCTTCTGGCATGCCTTACTACAAAGAAACTAATATAAAGTAAGATCATATATAATAGTAGAAAAATATTTGTGATTTTTTTTCTTTTTTAAAAACAGATTAAGTAGATACCCACCCCATTCCCACCCATGGCCAAAAATGTAAAATAATTACATCCCTTCCTTGTATACCTCCCCTTTTGTTTAGGGTAAGAATTAAGATAAAACTAACACACATACATAATTTTAAGAATTAAAAACTCACCACCCATAATTATTAAGAATGCTAAGGAATGGCAATACCTTGAAGCTCTTTTAAAATGAAAAAACAAAGCTTTAGATGGTAAACTGCACTTAGAGAAGCACAAACCAAATCCTTTATCCTTATTCCCTTGCTTTGTATCTCAAAGTTCTACTTTAAATACTTGTTTGAAAAAACTCAGTATACAGTTCATTCAGTACTATAGCGATAATAGGAGTAAAGATTTTTCACTTCCATTAGATATTGAACTAATCTACTTAGAGAGGACTATTACAGAGACTCTCTTCTTACATACGTCTACATATATTGTACTCAAGTGGTACATGCTCTAAAAAGAATTTCTTGAGGCTTGCCACCTCTGAACTTAGTCTCTAAATTTCCTTTCCACTAATCTCTAGTCAATGTCATATACTTCACTAGTTGCTCTGGGAGAAGTCATGGACATTTAACAGCTTATCATGCACTTCAAGGTTATATGGCAAAATAATGAGGAAAGTGCCTTTAGAGGTAGGAAGTAGGCTCTCATTCCAACCCTTGGTATGCCCTGTTACAAACAGTTTAAAGACTGGAATCAAAGTGGTAAATGTGAGACAAGGCTTAGGAAAATTAAGTGGACTTAGTTTCTAGAATTCTTTGAGCACACTCAATCACATTAGAACCAGTTACAAGTCACTCGATCACACAGAATACAGCAGTGTCAAAAATACATAAAGCGCACTGTAGATACAAATTCTTCTTGGCCATCCATATTTAGGTATTATCATTCTGTAGATTCTTCACTAGAAAAAGTGGTTAAGCATGGCTCTGTAGAATACCACAGTCCCAAGAAAGTGAAATCTCATTCCTTCATTAACTGGTCTCCACCAATGGCCACTTGGGGAGACCAGCAAAATGTAAGCAATCTGGAGGTGAAAAGGACTATTTTCATTAATGAACTTATCTGTGATTTAAATAAGGCTCAAAGTATACATCCAGTTTAAGCTTAGCGGCATGAAATTAGACCTTTCAGAGGACAGAACTCTTACGACTAGATAGAACCTCCCGCCTGGTTTAAGCACCAAGGGTCAGCCATGGAATTCATTAGATTTTGTTACTCATTCACAACAAACCTTTTCTGACCCTTTACATTCCTGAGATATCTGTCCTAAATGCCTCCATAAATCTCAATGTTCCATTCTACCATAACAGAATTATCTCTATAAAATATAAGCAAGTGGGTTGCCAAATTTAGGTTATCCATAAAGGCCAGAAAGTAAACTAGCAAAGCCCTGTTGAGATGTATACTGCTGGCTTTCATGAAGATGAAGCACATCCTTATTGAGTCCCCAAATCTTGAATGTTTTTCTCATCCCAGGATGGAGTTACCCCAGCTCCCTTCCTACCCAATCCATTCCAGCCTTTTCGTTTAACCCTTCCCCCTCCTCTCTCCCTCTCCAAGTCTCCTAAGCCTGTTAAGTACAGGGCAAAGACAATAGACCACCCCCATCTCCCTTGATGGCCCCTAGCCCCAATAACAACCACTTCCTAAATAGCTCATATGGAGTGGTTGATCCAGCCCACTCTTTGCAGTTCAGCACATTTCAAATGGGGACACTTGGGCGCATACCTACTCCAGGGTAATTTGCTAAGTAACTTTTCCTGTGTGCCAACCACATAACATCTCAACAATATGGCTTATAAAAATCCTATTTTTGTAGTTTTGGAGTTGGGTGTGAATAAGTGAATCCATATTCAGTGTGTTCAAATCAAAGGTCTCTTGTAGTTAGAAAGATGACATTGCTATATAAACTAGAAGGAACTGACATGAATTCTATAAGAAGATCAAAAGGACAAAAAAAACTTACCTTAATTCAACATCAGCACTTGAAAAGAAGAGAGAATACAGATGGTAGCGTAATCCTTACTTTCCAAGATGTGCTTGGTAATGTTAAATGCAATCTACCATTTGGGATAGTATTTCCAGATTATAAACCAGGAGGTTGGTAAAAGTGAACCGATGTGTCAGTTCTCTCACACGAAAATATTTTTATGACTGAACCGAAACCTCCTGGTAGAAGTCCTGGTAAGAAGCAGCATGGAGAAAGGCCTCACTACCACAACTATAAGGGTCTGGAAGAGTTGGATTAAAGAAATCAGTGGGAGGTCAATCAGCACAAGCATTACATTTAGAGCACACTATTTGCCAAGTTTGTCCACTGTTCAATCAAAGGCAGTAGGAACATTAGGATCACAGATGGAATAAATTATGCTCATGAAGTACATTTTAGGCCGATAATCTTCAGTTCTGTGAAGAATGTATAATTATAGATTTTCTTCACTAAAACCGGCAGGTGAACTAGGCAAAGGAGGCAATTTCTCGGATAGCAACGCATCTCGCATTCCTATACCAGTAGAGGTACAGGACTGCCCCCGAGAAACAACGCAGCTTTCAAATAACTCAGTTCCTTGTCAGGTGATAATATGAAGGGAAGGCAGCATGGTGTTATAAGGAAAGAAAACGGAATGAGAAGCATTTTAGTCTATGTTTTGGGTGTCAGGTTCTTTACATGCAGTATAAGAGAAATGTACTGGAGAATTGATACGGATTTAGACATTACCTCTGGTTCTAAAAGACTGATGGACAATACACTCAAGCGATTATGGATTAACATCAGTGTCCAAAATCTAAAAGGAAAATCATTTTTCTGCCCAAAATTACATTAGCCTTTTAAAAGTGACAAATATTTGGTATGACCACGGTTTGAAACACTGAAAAGAGAGAAAGAAAATAGCAGCTTTCTCTCCAGGCAGTGGGAAGCAGCTTTGTTTAACATCCATATACTCCTGAAGTTTAAAAAAAAACTTTCCTTCACCCTAGATATTCTGAAATCACTCCTTTGATACATTTTATTTAGAAGATAAATTTACATTTGTTTTCTATGTAATAATTTTTTTTTGTCACAGGCAAGGGTAATATTATAGATTTTCCCCTCTTCAATTGCACAGAGGAGAAATTAAGGAATAACAAGAGGCTCTAAGAAATTTAGATAAACCATATTTTCTTGGTTTTGTACTTCCAGAGATATCCAGAGCTTATAAAAGGAAAAAAGGATTTCTGATGTAAATGGCTTAGTGATAACAGATACATAAAAATTTATTTAATAAAATTGTTTAAGCTACCAAATTATGTCTAGATAATGAATACTATAATTTCAGCAGACCTAGTTCCCATCATGAAAATGGATCATTTCTAAAGTTAAAAGAAGCATTATGACTATAAATCATCAAGAGGGATTCATAAAACACTCAATGCTAGATATCCACTTAGCCTACATTAGCTATGATTTCAGGTTAGAAGAGATTTTATCTGATCAATGCTGTGTTCCCTAGAATAAGATAATTTGAGTCCAATTTTGTATAGCGGCTCATGGCCTTTATTGCATTCAAATTAGAGTTTAATATAGAGCACTGTAATGAGATAATATTCATGGTTTACTTTGTTCCCCAGAAGAGCACCCTGTTCTTGAACTATTTATTATTCATAGGCTAAATTATTTTGATCTACTTAAACATAAAATAGTGAGACCTCAATGACCAGTTGCTAATTTCGTTCGCCAACGACTCTTCACGATGACTCTTAAAGTCCTTTAAAGCATATTGATAAAATCCCAATTATGTGCCAAATACTAAATATAGGTACAATTTACGATTAAAAGCGTAAGGACTACTTCCTTCCTTAAGGAAAAAATAACCGAAGGAGTTGCAAAGTATATGGACTAACTTCACAGGTGTAGTACTCTTGATGTCATGCCACACACACGAGACTTTCTTTACCAAAACAGCTCTCTAGGGAAGTCTGACAGAGCACCTGACTTTAAGCAACAGACAACAAACCAGTGAAAGAGACATGGGGAAAGATATATACATTTTGGGGAATTACATTCAACAGCTGTTCCACTATCTGACCACTTTCACGGCTGTCCAACAATACTGTTAATCCAGGTGAACTATTGAACCAGATTTAATCGTCAATTGATTAATAGTAAGAGATTGCAAGTTTAAACAAGGCATGTATACATTAAAGAAAGCAGTACAGAAATGTACTGTGTATGAACTGTTTACAAAAACATACAAAATGTTGGATGGCACAAGGGATACAGTGCTAATATAAACGGATCGTTTAAGCTAAGTGCTTAACATAAACTGTCCATCCCTATAACTAACAAAGAATATCTCAGGGACATGAAATAGTTCCTATAAAAATAATGCTATATGGTGTAGAGTACTTTATTCAGTGTATTTTAGGTGGTATTCATGTGTTCATTATTTTTCTCATTGATTCAGTGAATACATCTTCATCTTGTTTCCATTTTCGTTTCGTCCGAAGCTCCGGGAAAATCTAACTTGCTAACAATCATTTAAAGCGAGAAGAGACGAAAGCGGGAGCAGCAGCAGGAGCAGCAGCATTATGGGTACCAGCTGGGACAGTGTGTGCTTGCAGGTGTCTCTCAGGATGTGCTACCTGTCGCCAGAACTTGTGCTATCAGCGTACACCATGGTACCAATGATCTCACTGAGGTCACATCACAGGGCTGTGGAGGTGATTTTCTTAATACCTCTTCGCTGAGCAAGAGTCGAGCGGCCTACTGGTTCCAAAACTGGTGACTGGTTACGGTTTAAAGCAGAGTAGGTAGCTGCCATGGCACCCTGATGATAGGAAAGAAAGGTCACACAGAAATGACAATGGGGGGACAGTTCCGTGCATAAAGAATACAAATTGAAAACACGCCCCCCCAAACAATTTGCTCCTTGACAAACGTACATCGATTTTATTAGACTCCGAATGAAAAGAACTGCACTGCTCAAGTGCTCTGATTCAACTAACCCTGCAGATGACAATAAAGGAGGCTAAACTACATACAAGGAGACAGGGACAAGGGCTGGAGCGATAGCATAGCAGGTAGGGCGTTTGCCTTGCACGCGGCCAACCCGGGTTTGATTCCCAGCATCCCATATGGTCCCCTGAATACCTCCAGGAGTAATTCCTGAGTGCAGAGCCAGGAATAACCCCTGTGCATCACCAGGTATGACCCCCCTCCCAAAAAAAAGGAAAAAGAAGAAAACAGGGACAGACTCCTAACAAACAATTCTCACTTTTTTCCTCCATTCAGGACTCCCCCACCTCCTCCATGTCAATCTCTTAACATGAGACTGCAGGGCTGCGTGCTCTTTCCGAGTCCACATTTGGCCACTGCAGGTAACCTCAGAGTTGGTTTTATTTGGGGAATGGGGCTGTATGTAAGAAAGAAAAGTGCAAATGAAAAGGACCCCCCCCGCCCCCCAGAGAGGATCCGACCAAAGGAGACTCACCTTGACTAGATGTGGGGCATCCTGTCTGTTCAGTTGGTATTGTGGCAGTTGGTCCCAGTGGACAATCCAAGGGTGTCTGAGCACGAGGGCAGCAGTCAGTCTCTGATGCGGGTCAACATGAAGCATCTTGGACACCAGGTCCTATAATAGGAAAAAGAGTAAGACCAGCTTAACCCTTGCTGGGTTCTTGGTTTCTCTTGTCTTCGGGGTTCTGGGGAGCAAGCCCTGTCCTCCTGCTAGCAAAGCCAGCACCAGGAGTCACAGCTCAAGACCCCTAAAGCCTTTCCATTCATTCCATTGGCTCCATCTTCTACAGCACTCCATAATCGGCCGTTCTTTGTTCCTAAGACACACTACCTCCACCTTTTGGACTCACAGCAATTTTATCCATATGACAATTTATCCAAACAACCTCAACCTTTTTTTTCCTCCCCAAGTAATAGTAATTTTTGTGTACTGCGAAGATTACAGTTATCAGATTTTATATATCTGTAAGGACTGTGGCGCTTCCCCCTCAGATATTCTGACTTTCATCCACTTCTTTGCAGTTTGTTTCAAAGTCAATCTTTAGCATGTAAGACTTTTTTGGTGCTGCTGGTTGAAATGCAAAGCCCAACAGCAGGAATTTACTTGGAGATCTGGAGAGACAGTACAGGGTATATGGGATTGAAGAAGCTTGTCTTGTATCCTTTGACCCCGGTGCAAATCCCCAATGCCACATATGCCCCCCCCACCCGCCTTTTCTGAGCACAGTTAGGAATACCCCCTGAGCAAAAACATACAAAAAAGAAATGAAAGAAAGAAAGAAAGAAAGAAGAAAGAGAGGAGAAGAGAAGAGAGGAAAGGAGAGGGGAGGGGAGGGGAGGGGAGGGGAGGAAGAGAATTTAGTTGGAGGGGCCAGAGACAATATGTGGCCAACCCTGTTCAGTCCCTGGTACTAGATCGTTCCCTCCCACCACCTCTCTGGCACTGTGTGCTGTTGCCTTTAGTGCTGGGGTGGCCTGAGCACTGAGCAGCCTCTCATCACCCTACGGCTCCAGCACTGCAGCGTGGCTTCACGGGCCCAGTATCCAGAGGCACATGGGGTCCTGAACAAGCTTGGGACACTCCCACCCCCAAGTCATTTACCTGGAGGGCTGGCTCGAAATGACTTCCCAAGATTAAAGGGTTTGTTTTATTTTTTAAAACTTAAACGGGGACTCGCAGGCATTTCAGAAAACTTAAAATATAGAAAAGCTAAAGAATATTCATAATCCTACTCTTCCAGAGACAAATTCTTCCTTATGTATGGAATCAAAGATGACTAACACCGCTGCATGGTTTTCCACTCTCTCAAATAACACAAATTCAATGAAACTGGTTTTTCATTTTAGACCTAAGGAGCATCCATTAAAGGTCATATTCTGCTAGGTAAAGGCATTTAGTAATGAACAAGACAGCAATGAACTCTGAGCTCATGAAGCTTCCATCCTACTGAGGGGGAGCTGAAGAACTTGTAATTGTCCGAACAGGAAGTTCACTGAGGAGCGGAATAAACTCGAGGCAGAGCTGAAGAACACAAACACCTGATGTGAGCAGGGCAGTGTGGCTGAGGAGTGGCTTCTTAAGAAGGTGACTCTGAAGGATAGTCAAGAGTTGGATCAAAGAAAGAAAGAATATATTTGGGGGAAAGCCCTCAAGTGTAAGGGCGCCCAGGCACAATTCAGCAACTGAAAGGACAACTGCAAGGAGACCGTGGGGGCAGATCAAGTGTGACAGGTGAGATGGGACCAGACTAATATGGATTTCTTCCGGAGGGGATAAAACATTTAAAGCAATGGCGATAGGTATCCTAGTTTGTATACTAGGAGAGATTATACTAAGTGTGGAGGAAATGCATTAAATGGAGAAAGCCTAGAAATTCAAACTTCCTGGACACTAGCAAAGCTTCCAGATGACAGCATCAGTACAAGAGCGGGGGTAAAAGGAGCAGGTATAAGGGAGTTGGAATGGAGGTATTTAAGAGAAAGCATCACCAGGACCTGATGGCTGAACTGGGGAGAAGCTGTAGCTTTATAGTTCCTTAGATTTAGTCATCACTAAGAGCTAAGAGGAGGAATACTTAACGGTACAGAATTCGAAATTTAAAATGTGACCGAGAACTTCTCACTCTAAATTCTGAAAGTAGACCAACGTGCTTAAAATGCACAGAAGGTTGCAAAACTAACGTCTATCATAATTTTAATCTGATCGGTGTGAAGCATGGCACTTCTGGACAAGTCACTTATCACCACTTCCCTTCTTGCTACTATCTTTCAAGTAGGCACTTGGAAGCTTTCTCCTTAAATGGTGGTGATCCCTTGAATTCCTTCTTCTGCTCTTTTATCACTGCTAGATAAGCTCCTGCATGCTCATCTCTTAACTTACCAGTGCTGATAACAACTCTGACATGTACTGTCCACCCTAATAACAGTCAGAAGGCGGAGATTAAAAAGAAACCTGACCAGCAAATGCTTGGGGGTACTGATGCGGCAGATTAAGCAAAGGAAAGGCTAGTTGGAGACACAGGACAGGGGTTAAGGCGCTTGCCTTGTACATGGTCAACCCTGGCTTAATCTCTGATACCACATATAGTATCCTGGAAACTGCCAGGAGTTAGCTTCTGAGCACAAAGCCAAGAGTAAGCCCTGAGCACAACTGGGTGTGGCTCCAAACCCTAACACAATACAAAACAGAAACAAGAAAGTAAAGGTGGAGAAAAGGACCAGGGTCCTTCGGTTACTCTCCTTTCTGAGAACTCAAAGCCTTTTGCACCACAGTAAAATGGTCATAAAATGGAGAAAAATAGTTTTCAGTACTCCTTAATAAGGATTCTGTAAACTAGAATCCATTGGTAAAACTCTGAACGTGGTTATAAGAAGATGAAAGAACATAAGCTGGAATATTTGAGCAGATACTGTCTGAATAAATTTATTACTTTACCTGAATATTTTATGAGGATGGATACTATATCTGGCTTAGGAAACACTCCCCCCACAACCTGGAATTGTAAATCAAAATTTAACAGAAACTGCAGGAAGGAACACAGGAGCTGAGGAATTAAGGATAAACGTTTGTAGGAAAACAGGTATGTCTGAATGGGCTTTATGTGAAGTGGATGCATCTCTTCCATTTGACCGGCTTTTAGGGGACAAACACTGTACCCGCAGAATCTAGTACTGTGAAATGTCATGTAAATGTGCCCTTCTGCAACACTAATTGAACATATTAAGTGGAAACCAGTCAGACGGGGGGGGGGGGTCCTACCACTTATTTTATAGAATTAGGAGGATTAAGTGAAGATAATTTAGGAAAAGTATAATGGGAGACAGTAGACATAAAAATCATGAAGACTATTATTCATCATGCTCACTGATCAGAAAGCATTAGATGTACAGATCATAGGGCAAATCAGTATCTTCTGGGAAAGGAAGAAATTAACTGGCTCATTTCTAAACTAAAATTAATAACCTCATTCCACAATACAACTTTGGTAACTTTATTTTGGTGGGCACACCTGGCTGTGCACTCAGGGATCACTCCTGGAGGTGCCAGGGATTGAAACTGGGTTGACCACATGCAAGGCAAGCACCCTACCCACTGTACTATGTCTCTGGCCCTTCAAAATACTGCTTAAAAAGTACTTTCTTGAAGTTTATAAAGGAAGTTAGACTTACTTTTGCTTTGTCGGAAACAGAATTCCAGTAACCACCACTGAGTGAGAATTTCCCGCTGCCTATCCGTGCCAGTATTTCCTCTGGTGTATCATCAGGGCCATTTGCAAACGGAGTGTAACTAGTTTATAATAGAATGAAAATACTAATTAATGACATTTCTTTCTTGGCTAGTAATCTTTATTTGCAGTGTCAAAAACACCCGTAATTCAGTTAATACTTCGCCGAAAACTCTGAAAGTAAAAGATATAAAGCTAAACACGAAGCTACACAAAGTATTAGATCAAAATAAAACTTATTAAATATTATTTACATGTAACTAATAGATTTAATATTATAATAAATTTAACAATTTAAGTATTTTAACACGATACATTAAAGGATAAAATGTTTTAAAGTGTTCACACCACAGAATGGAAAGCTCATTTAAAAAAACACCCAGTATAGGCGAGGATGTGGGGAGAAAGGGACCATCATTCACTGCTCGTGGGAATGTTGAATGGTCCAGGCTTTTGGGAAGATAATACAGATATTCCTCAAAAAACTGGGAACTGAGCTCACATGTGAACCAGAAATTGCACTCCTGGGAATCTGGGAATATACTCCAAGGATTCAAAAGCACAATGCAGAAGAGATACCTGCACTCCTATATTAGCTGTAACACTACATACAATATCCAAAATATGGACATAACCCAAATGCCCACATACAGATGACTGGATAAAGAAACTAGGATAGCAGCTGGAGCGACAGTACAGCGGGGAGGGTGTTTGCCTTACCCGCAGCCGACCTGAGTTCAATCCCTGGCATCCCATATGGTCCCCCAAGCACTGCCAGGAGTAACTCCTGAGTGTAGAGCCAGGAGTAACCCCTGAGCATCGCTGGGTGTAACCCCCCTCCCCCGCCGCAAAAAAGAAAAAAGAAAAAAAAAAAGAAACCAGCAGCATACAGATAACACAGTGAAATCCTACTCTGCTCTGAGAGGAAATAGTCATGCAATTTGCCGCAGCGTGGATTGATGTGGAGAGTATCATGAGCCAGGGGAGAAGAACAGACTTAGAATGATCTCTCTAGTATGTGGATATAAAGAAACTTCCTAGGGCAATGCTACATGCCCAAAAGCAGTCAAAAGGAAGAGCAGGAGAACTGGTCTTCGGTAGGGAGCTTGCACTAGGGCAAGTGAGTGAGTGAGATGGGGGAGTGAGTTAAGGAAGGAAACACTAGGACAAAAGCGGAGGGGCAAAGTGCCTGCCCCAGAGGCAGGCTGAGAGCGGGAGGGAAACTGGGGACACTAGTGGGGTCAGTGGGTACTGGTGAAGGATTGGAGTTGGAACAATGTACCCCTGAAACTCAATCATAAATATCTCTGTCACTTTGTAATTCACAGTGATTCAATAAAAGATTAAGTGTTTATTCCATAGTAAGAGTACAAAAACTGTATGGAAAAGAATCAATGAGAGAATAAGTAAAACTGTACAATATCAAAGTCTGTACTGATAAATCTAGTACTGTAAGAATCTATATATAACATGTAGAAAAAATGAAAGAGGAAACAAATTAAAAAAAGAAACCTAAATAATTTAAACAAATACTGATGATCGTATGCTATAGTGTGCACTCACCCAGTAAGCATTGTATACAGGAGGACACCAAGACTCCATATATCGCAAGCAGCGTCATAGCCTTGTCGTTTTAAAACCTAGGAAGAAACCTTAGTATTACCACACCATTGTTTATTACGTATATTGGAGTAGGCTGCGAACGGAATGATAGTCACCATTATCAGACTGATAAGACCAATTTCAACAGGACATGATTAAGAAAGAAAATATCAGTCCTATTCTAGAGCTTTCTACTATAAATTCACATACGTATTTTTATGTTGGAATCTGATGCATTCTTTCTTTTTTTTTTTCTTTTTGGGTCACACCCAGCGATGCACAGGGGTTACTCCTGGCTCATGCACTCAGGCATTACTCCTGGCGGTGTTCGGGGACCATATGGAATGCTGGGAATCGAACCCGGGTCTGCCGCGTGCAAGGCAAATGCCCTACCCGCTGTGCTATCTCTCCAGCCCCTGATGCATTATTTCTAAGTGCTACTATGGCACTAACTAGCAGAAGGTTACAAAATAAATCAAATGCAGCTCAGTACTTTTAGTATTGCTAGGAGAAAAGACGTAAGTATTACTTTCAAAAATATTATTTTATGGGCCAGAGAGATAGTACAGTAGGTAGAGCACTTGCCTCATCCATGGCTGACCCAGGTTCAATCCCCAGCACCACTTATGGTGCCACCAAGCTCAGCCAGGAATGAAAGAGCACAGATCCAGGAGTAAGACCTGAGCACAATGGGTGTGGCCCAAAATACAAATAAATAAGTACACATATATAATTTGTATTAGAGAGTTAAAAATTTGACAAAAATCTCAGCAAATAGGCGACGGGGAATACAATGTTAAAATCCTTTCCAGTATCATCCTGAGTGAAGTCAGTCAGAGCTGGATACAGAATGATGTCTCTCCTATGTGGGACTTGAAGATACACAGCAAGGTAACAACAAAGGTCCAACGGCAAGACAAGGGGGTGCCGGGAACAAACCTGGTCAGCCAGGTGCAAGGAAAGCTTAGCACCAGCAGTACTCTCTGTCCGGCCCTTAGGGGGCATGGAATTTTACTTTCCTTTTATAAAATGTGCTTCAAAGGAGAACTGTTAATTTCTCAGGAAAAAAGCAGCTTGACCAATGCAGTCCTTGAGGATGCCTGGAGCAGCTTTGGAGCTCTTATGTGGAACTGTCGTAGAATAAAGGAGGGTGCAATGTGGACTTGAGTTGTGGCAGTCACCTGGGGGTGCAATGAGGGAATTAGGGGCTAGGATGGCTGCTCTGGAAACTGAGAAATTCCAAACTGTTTATCCAAATTTCTGGATAACAGAGCTGGTAACTAGTGATGAAGGACAATTTAGTTGACATTTTAGTTCAGGTGAAACCAGAAAGGTGGTTGGCAAGAAACCAGCAAAGGATAAGGGTCCGAAGAAACAAGGCGAACACAAGCATAATTGTTTATACAGAAAGACCAAGGTTGAGGCATGAAAAGGATTATAAATTGTCGTGGATTAATGACAGAAGAAACTGCCAACATAAGAAAAAATAAAGGCACTTTATTTAATTACTTGTCTGTAAGTCTTTCCATAAACAACTACTAGTTATTCAATTAAGCACAGCAAAAGATTTCTAAAATATGCTGAAATACTGCACACAAATTCTCAAACATACCTCTGGTGCAACAAAATTTGCAGTGTAACAAGGAGTCATGAGAAGACCATTTTCAGCTCTGAGTTGTTTGGCAAAGCCAAAATCACAGATTCGAATAGATTCTGGATTGCCGGATTCGTCCACATAAAGAATGTTGCTAGGTTTCAAGTCTCTGTGAACCACCTAATTGAAACACAAAGTAAAGAGCTACATTAGCAATATATTTCCATTACAGAATTTTTTTTCAAGAACTGTCAAGCAATGCACTTAAGAGGACGATGAGTACTGACCTTTTAATTATCCTAACATCGTAAAATGCCGTTAATATGAGCATAACTCTAATAACACAGACCTGGAGGACTGAGAGAAGGAAGAAAGAACAGAGTTTCCCTCTGTTCAATAGAGTAAGTGAATGTGAATAGCAATAAAATCTGTATCCAGGATACTCACTGACTCAACAAATATTTACTGAGCACCTGTCATGTGCCAGGGTATTATAGAAGAGGCATCATATACTGTGATGAAAAAGCTCCTACGGGCCTCAGCTTTATATGCTAGGGGCTACACAGCAGTTGAGAAAGGCAGAGCTTTAACAGGCAAGAGATAATGTGTAAGGGGAGAGTTCAGGGGAATCTTAGAGGACTTTGATATATGAACCAGGACACAAAGAACACTGAGCAAGCATGAACAGTGTGGGGGTGGCCATTCTAAGTGGAGGGAATGGCATGCACAAGATGTCAAGACAAGTGCTGACAGGCTCCAAGAAACAGGGAAGGGTGTAGATGGAAAACTCCAGACTTTAGGTATTACCTGTTTGATATCCCAGGGACAGTCTCTCTCTCTCTCTCTCTCTCTCTCTCTCTCTCTCTCTCTCTCTCTCTCTCTCTCTCTCTCTTCCTGACCCATTCCTTTGGAGTTATGTATTATTTTCCATCTTTAATCACCTATTTGAATACCTTTATCATAACCCTCGCTGACCTTCACCATCAGTTGCTGTGTTTCTTCCAGCAGCTGATTCTGAGTCTATATTCTAATCAGTCATCTCAGCATTAGTCTCTGCTCTTCTTTGCTCCTCCCCAACCCACATTTTCTCCTCGGTCCTCTTGCCCTCATAGACTTACCTTCATTAAAACCTTTGTTTTGTTTTATTATTATTTTCCCTGTCTTTTCAATCTTATTCTTTTTTATTTTTATTTTTTCCGCCTTTTGGGTCACACCAAGCAAGGCACAGGGGTTACTCCTGGCTTTGTACTCAGGAATTACTCCTGGCAGTGTTTAGGGAACCATAGGGGATGCTGGGGATTGAACCCGGGTTGTCCACATGCAAGGCAAATGTCCTACCCACTGAGCTATCACTCCAGCCCAACTTTGTTTTGTTTTAACCATTTGTTAAAAATCTGTATGAACAAAGAAATGAAAGCATTCGCCAGCCAGATAGAGGGTAACTCAACACCCCAGACACCTGAAGGATTTTCTTTTCTTTTTTTGGGCTGGTGATGCTCAGGGGTTACTCCTGGTAATGCTTGGGGAACCATATGGGATGTCAGGGACTGAACCCAGGTCAGCTGCGTGCAAGGTAAACACCCTACCCACAGTACCCGCTCCAGCCCCCATTGAAGGATTTTCTTTTATACACAAGTACAACTCCAGTCTCTCTGGTTCTGCTTCTGCACTTGAAACAGGCCCAGCTTTTAATCATCAGGGGTGGTTTGCCACAAACAGTGCTGTTTTCCATGTCAGAAAACTTCCCTCCCTTTTTATTAGAAAATAGAGGAATTTAACTTAAACAACCTAGAACCTCAAAGTAGCATCTGAAGCTCAATGGGCATTTATGTAATGGAAGCACAGAAGAATACTTTTGCTAATATTTCCCATTCTCTCTATACAGCAACTTCTGTCATTGTAATTTTATCTCAAACACCAAGGGAAAAGAGGCAAGAATAAAGGTCTGCAGGTATTAAATGTGTATAAATATGTACGCTGATGTATAAAATGTTAAAAAGTACTTACCCCTTGTGCATGAAGATACTCAACAGTTTTAGTGATAGTGAACAGGACAGCACTGGCCTCTCGTTCAGAGAAAAATTTCTGTCGAAGAATTTTGTCCAGCAGTTCCCCCCCTTTCATAAGTTCCGTCACAACATACACGTATTTTCCATCGTCATACACCTATATAATTCAACATCAAGATGTAAAGAATTATTCGAAGTTTTATATATGGCCAGAACAATGTTTTGTACATTGAACAGAAATTAACCCTCTTTTTGGGCACCACACTTGGCTGTGCTCAGAGCTTATAGCTGGCTTGATGCTCAAAGATGACTCCTAGCAGGGCTCGGGGGGCCATTTGTAGTACAGGGGTTCATGCAAGGCAAGTACCTGAACCCCCTGCACTGTCTCTCCAGTCCCATAAAGGAAAATTAACTCCTTTTATATTCAAGGAAAATTTTATCTATCACAACAAATGGAGGTCATAAAACCTATAATAACCATATACACGTAAGAATATTAAAATGGGAACTGATGAAGACTGGGCATCAAAAATATCCTGAAATTTTCTTCTGTGAAACTCAATTCATGATAATAAAATTCATCACAGGCATTGTATATGAAGGACGCACTAAACTTTTGCCCTTAGGTTTTGTTCTTCTTGATCTCGTTTCTATCTATTGATTTTCCTTGTAATTCCAATCACAGGTGTTCTATATTTAAGTACATGGTTGAAAAATAGATTACTGTTTCATTAAACTGAAAGACAAATTACAGAGTGGGAAGATTTAAGTAGCATGTAGTACTGTCCTCCCGTTGTTCATCAATTTGCTCGAGCGGGCCCAGTAACGTCTCCATTGTGAGACTTGTTGTTACTGTGTTTGGCATGTCGAATACCTCACGGGTAGCTTGCCAGGCTTTGCTGTGCGGTATCAGAGAAAAATTCCATCCCACCACCCAAAGTATACCAGCGAACTCCTAAAATACGAATAGAAAACTCTACAGTTTAGAATTGTACTGCAGGCAATTTTGAGGTGAAATAACTCCCTCATTAAAGATTAGTCCTTTAAAAATCATTCCATCATAGAGCTATTGTATACTTTTATTTAATTTCAAAAAAGGTAGGCAAATGCTGGAGCCCTAAAAGTGGAGAAACGAAGATACATGCCAAGCAGGTTTTTGTTTTAGCAGTGAGAGATATGGAAATAAGAGGTGAAAGTGTTGGGGATGTTGTAATAAACTCATGGGAAATTTTTGAATTTGAAAAGAAGGGACAAAGTCCTGAAACAAATAGTTAACATCTTGGCCAGTTTCCAAGCCAAGCCTGAGAAAATGTACTTTCTATGATTCTTTTTTTCATTTACATGGTTCTAGTCGCGAAGTATCACGTAAAATAAGCAGCTTTGTGTTTTAATGTGACTAACATTTTCCTTCTAACAATGCACAATGCTAAATTATTCTGTGGGAACTGAAGTTGTGGCTGGGAAGGAGGAGGATAAATTAGGGAATTCGTTAAATCTCTGAGGTATTTGGAAGTTCTCTGGCTTAACCGTAAGATCGGGCCATGTCTCTGGTTTACAGCACCCAGGTTAAGGTCTGAGCCCCATGAGCAAGAGGACACTGAATGCTGCCTGGGGGAGTTGACACCCCAGCCAAGAGCAATGTTATGATAAAAACCACAAGCAAAGACACTTTGTCCTGAGAATGGAGATGGGAAGTGCAGGCTTCCTGGCGTAAACAATGTCTCAATGAAGGCTGAGATGGGTGGTGGTTATCCACACCAAGGCACTCTCTACTGAGCTGCATTAGAGAAATGAAGCATGTCAAGAAACTACGGACATGCTGGAGCATAGCTGGTACACAGGGTATCTGAAAAAGTGTGACAACTACTGTGGCAGAAGACAGGGACAAGAAGTGTCACGGTTAGGTAAGAGTATGAGTGCTCCCTGACAGTAGCATAGAAAACGCTTTGGGGAATCCTGGTTATTCCACAATACTGGTACCCAAATGTTCACGTACATATGGACATAAATATAATGTTCGCAACATATTTTTTTCTTGAGGCAGAAATAGAAAAAAAAATAACATGTAAACCTACATTTTTTTTTTGGTTTTTGGGCCATACCCAGCTGGGCCCAGGGCTTACTCCTGACTTTGTACTCAGGGATCACTCCTGATGGGCTTGGGGGACCCTATGGGGTGCTGGGAAATTGAACCCAAAATAACCACGTGTAGAGAAAGGACCTTCCTTCTGTACTATTGCTCCGCTCCCCAATATCTTTTATTTTTATTATTATTTTTTTGCTTTTTGGGCCATACCATGTGATGCACAGGGTACTCCTGGCTCTGCACTCAGGAATTACTCCTGACAGTGCTCAGGGGACCATATGGGATGCTGGGAATCGAACCCGGGTCAGCTGTGCAAGGCAAATGCCGTACCCACTGTGTTCCAACCCCACATTTTTTCTTCATAAGTGGAATAATTTTACATATGTTGGCCTCTTATCTTTTCTTTGGCAGGGGGTGTTGGGCCATTTCTGGTGGTGCTGAAGTGAAACTCCTGGGTCTGTACTCTGAGATCACTCCTGATAGTGTTTGGGGAACTATATTCAGTGGTAAGGATCAAACCAGGCGGGCAATGTGGACTATCTGGACTATCTTCCTGGCCTTCCTTCAAGTTAATTTTTTTACTTAACTATGTCTGGTTCTTTTCTACTATATTATATTTGAAAATACTTCAAATGTGACTTTGATAATGAAATCAAAGGGTTAACAATAAAGAATATACTTACATCTTTTAGGGTAATGATGTTTGGGTGCTGTCCATAACGAAGAAGAATTTCAATTTCTTCTGTTGGATCTCTCTTGCTTTTATCAATAATCTAAGAAGAAAATAGTTTTTTACAAAATCTCATGAGCTTCAGTATTTATAGTTCCAAGTACTATCCTTTTCTGTTTGTTTCCTGGGCCAGCCCCAGATGTGCTCAGGGCTTATTCCCTGCTCTGCATTCAGGGATCACTCTCCCAGGGCCTGGGTTAAAGGGATGGAAATAGAGTTGGCTGTGTGCAAGGCAAGCACCTTAATCCACTTCTCTATCTCTCCAGCCCCAATGGGTATTATATCATGTTCATATTGTATATGTAAAGCATTTATCAACCAGTCTTGTTCAAATAGTTGGTGAAACTGTCTAATAAAAATTTAAAAATTAGTCCTGATATAGGTAATAAAGCTATGAAATAAATGCTATGCTATAAGTACCATTTTTACACAGTCTGTGTAAGTTCGTAGTAAAATTAAGACTTACTGAAAATGCAAAAGTCTCAAGAAATGGAAATAAGAAAAAAGTTAACATCTTCTATCTTTGAATGTCTTAAACCACTGGGAATTCAGTCAACTTCAATTCCTATCAATAGACAATTAAGAGCTAGAATAACACCATCAATATTTGTTTATTTAATTAACTTTAATATCTTTACTAAAATGCTTCAACAGAATACCGCACTACTAGTACTTACTTACATGAAATTAACTAACCATTAAATAAAACAAGATTAATGTTTTTTCTTTTTGGATAACACCCAACAATGTTCAGGGTTTACTCCTGGCTTTGCACTCAGGAATTACTCCTGGTGGTGCTCAGGGGACAATATGGGATGCTGGGAATCGAACCCGGGTCGGCCGCATGCAAGGCAAATGCCCTACCCGCTGTGCTATCACTCCAGCCCCAACAAGATTAATTTTTAAGCTTAGCAAAAAGCTATACAGAAAACCATACCTTTACATGGAATTAAGTTTAATCATTATAATAAAACACATAAAATACTACTGTGGCTTTCCAATTCCTTTTTTTTTTCTTTTGGGGTCACACCTGGCTGTGTTAAGGCCCACTCATGACTCTGTGTTCAGAGATCACACCTAGTGATGCTCAAGGTACCAAACATGGTACCAGGGGTCAAATCAAGATGTGATCTCTCTGACAACTCCAAGGCTTCTTTCTATGTCTGTTGCTTCTTAAAAAAATACATATAATACTTTAATGTATAAAGCAGGATATTTTTGAAGATAACAAATTTTGCTTTAATTTCATAATAAGGGGAGTCTGAAACAACTTTTGTGACTGTCATATTTTCAATTTAAATTGTAATTACTGTCTGCATGTAATGAGTACCCAAGTGTTCCAGCAACCTATGAAAAAGCTGGCAACTTTCAATAAGAGCCAAATATACTATAGAAAATCAATTTATTTGTAAAATAGTTCTGATTTTCTAGAGCAGAGTAAACAAACATAGGTGTCCAGTGTAATCAACTGCAGATGACAGTATATAATTATCTAAATGGCAGAGGAAATGAATAAACACTTCTCAGAGGAAAACAGGAGGATGGCCAATAGGCACATAAAAAAAATGCTCAGCATCACTTATCAAGGGAGATATCCAAATCCCAGAGAAATCCAAATCAAGGTGACAATGAGATAACATCTCACACCAGTGAGAATGGCGCCTATCAAAAACAGTGTTGGCAGGGTTGTGGTGAAAAAGGAACTCTTATTCACTGCCAATGAAAATGCTGTCTGACAAACCCTTTGGGAAACTTAGATAAACTCTTCAGTAAACTTAGAATTGAACTGTCATTATGGCCCAGCAATTTCACTTTTGGGCATCTACCCCCAGGATATAAAAACACTCTCAAAAGAACATATACATATCATTATTCATTACTGCACTCAGAGCAATAGTGAAGATATGGAATCAACCTAGGTGTCTAATGACAGGTGAATGGATTATGAAGACGTGTTATATATACATAACTATGCAGTACTATGCAGCTTCAAGGAATGAAGCAATAATGCAATTTTCTGCAACCTGATTGGAACTGGAAGATAGCATATTGCATGAAACAAGCCAGAAGAAGAAAGAAAAAAAAACAGTGATTTCACTTATCTGTGGTCCAGAATATAGGATGAGGAAATAATCCTATGCCAAGATGCCAAGATCACCCTTGAACCCAATGTTTAGAGAGGAGGAGGATAGAGAAGGAAAGAAATAAAGGAGCGGGGGAGAGAAGAGAACTGGAAGTAATGGGTGAACAGGCATCAGGGCTTCAGTTATACTGGTGATATGGGTGAATGGTGTAGGTATTTTTCCAACAAAGCACAGACTCAAGAAAACTGGAAAAATAAGAGCTAAGCTGCAACCACTGGAACTCTGCAATGTGCCTGTAAAGTTGACAGGTGGGGGATGGGATGGGAATTGGGGGAGGGAGGGAATATGGGAACCCTGGTGGAGGGAGTTGATATTGGTGGTGGGATTCATGTTGAAACATTGTATGTCAAAAACCAACCCCCCCCCCAAAAAAAAACCCTCAGCTACCAATAACTTTATAAATCAAAGTTTTTAAATAAAATTAGGAAAATGGGTGATAAATAGGAAACATAGAAGATGTGAATTCAAGAGAGATGATCAGGGCCCTAGTCATCTGAGAACCAGAACAGGGTTTCAACAGGAGCTATTATTTCTGGCAACATTCTCTCTCTGATCCCCTAATCTGTGCCCAGGTTACATTATAAGCACATTTGTGCTTACAGATGTTAGATGTATAGTAATTTCAGCATAATCCACTTGTGCTAGAACCGGTTTAATGAATCCACTTTAAGTCACAAGAATTTACAAATGTCTTTGAGATATTCTTAAGGATCTGGTGTCTGTAATTCAGAGGGGACCTCAGGATATTCCTGCTTTTGTCTGATGCATTCACTGAGGCAAGACACATTCTTAAACTGCCTTGATCATTTTCTCTTCTTTCATGCAAACAATCTGACAATTTCTATGTATCCCAGATTTCAATATAAGCAATGAGTAAAAGTTAATATAAAAATACATTTCTATGGATCATCCTTACAACTGACAGAAAGCCTGTCAAGACACTCATGATTTCTTAACTAAATTAACATCCAAGTTTAAATCAGCAAGAACATTTGTGTGTATACCTCCCTTAATATTTCCTGTGAAAAGATAAAACACATTTAAAATTTATTTTTCTTTTTTGTGGGGGGGGGTCAGTCACACCTGGCAGTGAACATGCTCAGGGGTCCATGATGTTCTAGGGTTCCCAGAGCCACACCCAGCAGTACTGAGAGGGGGTGTTTTACTAGGGATAGAACCCACAGCTTGAGCCATATCCCAAGATCCTCACCTACATATACACAAGAAAAAGTTTTAAACAGGGATTACACTTAGCAGTGCTCAAGGAACACTAGAGCTATTCCTTGGCCATATTTGGAGGGGCAGTGCTATGCCAGGAATTGCCCTCAAGGATTCCACTTGAGCCATATTCCTGGACAATTTTTACACAGTGAGATCATACTGTATCTAGGCATATGATGAGTTCGACGGATGCCAATCTAACTAAACATGAGTTAGCCCTACTTATAAGCTAAGTTTGCTTGTAATGAGAGAGCAGAGACCACCAATCTAACCGGAAAGACAAAGACTTGAATGAAGTATTTGTTCACATACAACTAAAAACCTGCAAACTGAAAGTTATCATATTGTCATGTGCCTTGGTTTTGTGCCTGGAAAAACTTGCTATATCTTAGGACATTCGATGAAATGAAAAGAGCTTATGATATTAAAATATTATGACAGTGGTTCTTTTCTCTTACTGGTTCACAGATCCTTTTATTTTTAAAAAAATTGTTTTGGTTCTTGGGCCATATCCAGCCGTTCACAGGGGCTAACCTGATTGGAACTTGGTACATGTGGTATATGTGGATGCCAGGGACCAAACCTGGGTCTCCTGTATGAAAAGCCCTTCCTCAGGCCACTGAGCTCTCTATGGCCATCACAGATCCTTAAAATATGAAGAACAGAATAAACACTATCAGAAAAATGAAAATGTACAAAATCTGGCATATATTTTGAGGAATTCTCAAAATGTGAAACTTTTTGAAAACAAAAGAGATACTGCTATAGGTTAAGACATGCATAAAGTGATACTGTGAAAATGTTATGCATACTTACTATTAGCGTACAGGGAAATCCAAACTCTTTATTAGATCCCCAGAGATCACTAGCCAGATATGTGAATTTACCCTGCCTTTAATAACACAGGGCACATATATCAAGGGGAAATACTGCAATTTGGGGGTTAATTCCTGGCTCTGTGCTCAGGGATCACTCCTGGCGGTACTCGGGGAACATGCAGTGCCAGGGATTGAACCCATGTCTGCTCATGCATGGTAAGTACCGGACCTACTGTACTATCTCTCCAGTCCCAAAGATTGCATTTTTGAAGTGGTATTACAAGTTTGAGGAAGAGCTCTTAAATGAAGAACTGTTAAAAAAAAAAAAACATTTACCTTCACTGCAAACTCCATGTTTGTGGCTTTATGTATACATCTCTTGCAAACAGAATAAGATCCAACTCCAATATCTTCTTTGACTTCGTATCCATCAGTAAACTGGATGCTGTTTCTGTGCAGCTGCTATAAATACAAATACAAACTGAGGAAGAGCTCTATAATGACACTGCTACATTTCATAATGTGGGAATGCATTGAATGCACTCAGCATGCATTCTTATTTTATCTATAAACATAAATGCCTATCAGTAAAAAAATGAATATAATAATATAATATAGACATCTTATCAGGACATCTTTTATGACATCTTATTATCTCATTCCTACTTTGGACAAACTTGCAGGCTATCGAATGTAGCCTGCCCACAGGGCAGAGTCTGGCAAACTCCCCGTGGCGTACCATATATGCCAAATACCAGTAACAATGATGGGTCTCATTCTCTTAAAGAGCCTTGAATATAATCTCAGGGCTAGGATGAAAGAGACGTTACTGGGGCCTGCTCGAGGAAATCGACGAATAACAGGGGTATTAAGTGATTAAGTGAATATAGTAATACTGATTTAATACTCCCGCTCACATCCCTGGCCCAATGCATGCATTCCTCTAGGACTACAATTTACAAATTTTAATGATAAATACATAGCAATCTACACTTTGAAAGCTTATTTCAAAAAGGAAAAATTGGGTATTTTCAACAAATAATGTAGAACTACTCGATAAGGGGCCAACAACTTTGCCCGTCATTTTGCTTCACTTCATTACCCAACTGGTGAGGGTCATTTAACTATATTTATACAAATCGGGAGAAGCTTGAAACCTCTGGGGTAAAAGAAAAGATGGAATAAGAACCTGCCTCGGATATACCATTTGTTGGCTATGTAATCTTGAACCTGTATTTCCCACAGGGCAATGGTGAGGATCAAATCAAATAACATATTTGAATGTGACATGTTAACACTATATTGGATTATTGAGTAGTTGTATCCTCTCGTCTCCACTCTGAAGTCACAGCTTTGACACACTTCTGCTAAAGAAGCTATGGGTTAAGGACTCTAACATGTAGAAGGAAGATGAACACCAAACCAATTCCATAACCAGGCTGAGAGAAATGGTTGATAACAGACCCCATATGCTTCTGACTCGCCATTCAAATCACTGTTTGAACTGGTTTTCTGGAAAGTGAGAAGATGGCTGACTGATGAAAATACTTTAGAACACAAGCAGCTGAATTATGAAGCAAAATCAAGCACCAATTATACACTAAAAAACGATTCACTACTTTGGAAAATATATCCAGTTCTGTTTCTTTTATAAATATGTTATAAATAATCTATCTTCGTGACATTGTGATGGGAGGAAATTAATCTAATGGTTTGAACTACCTGTATTATAATTATTATTATTTTTCTTTTGGGGTCACACCCGGCGATGCTCAGGGGTTACTCCTAGCTTTGCACTCAGGAATCACTCCTGGCAGTGCTCGGGGGACCATATGGAATGCTGGGGATTGAGCCCGGGTCAGTGGCGTGCAAGGAAAATGCTCTCTCCGCTGTCCTATCACTCTGGGACCCACTACCTGTTCTCTTACACACACAACCTACCTTCCTAGAAGTCTTATGTGACTAAACTCTTTTTTTATAACCATGATAAAGATGAGTAATGAGTAGGGGGCACATGTACACACATATTTTTTTCCTAATGCCTACTTACTTCTAACTCTGATAATGAGTAGGGACACCCTATGGCATACACATAATCATCTGACCATTTTTCCTAAAGGCAAAGAATGACCCAAAACTTGGAAACTTTATGATTTGTATTCATTTTAACTTGTTTCTTTTTATGGCAGAGATTGTTAAACTCTGACCTGTGGGCAAAATTTTGCTTAGTACGTGTTTTCCTAAACAAAGTTTTGCTTTGTTTTGATTTTAAGGATCACACCTGGCAACGCTCAGGGCTTACTCTTGGCTCTGCACTCAGGGATCACTCCTGGAGAGGCTCAGAGGACCATATAGAATGTGAGGGATCGAACCCAGTGGGTCGCATGCAAGGCAAATGCTTGATCCACTGTACTATCATTGTGGAGCCTCTAAACAAAGTTTTATCAGCACAAGCTACATCCCTGTATTTATATATTGTCTATGCTAGCTTTGGTGGAAGGTGAATCAAAACAGATATCACATAGTCTACCAGGCCTCAAATCTTTTTAAAAATTAAGGTATAAGGGAACAGGAGAGCTTAATTTCTATTAATTACTCTAACAGAGGGAGAGAATGAAACAAATTAGGCCTCATAAAAATTTTGAGGCAAAGGAAAGGAGAAAAATCAGGTTTATCTCGTTAGATTTTTACTTTGAAGGGCCTGAGCGATAGTACAGCAGTATGGGAATTTGCTTTGCATGTGGCTGACCTGGGTTCAATCCTCGGCATCCCGAATGCTTCCCTGAGCACCGCCAAGAGTAATTCCTGAGTGCAGAACCAGGAATAACCCCTGAGCATTGCCTGGTGTGTTCCAAAAAGCCAAAAAAATTTTTTTACTTTGAAGCCTAATAAATATACAAGACTCTGGCTCTGGTGCATGCAACCTTTTGAAAGCTACTTTAACTGAGCAAACAAATCTACTCTATAATCTCATACTTCATAAGCAATATTGCACATTTCAGATTTGACGTTCACTCACCTGAACAATCGAATGCACACCCACTGTCTGCATAGCTTGGTTTTCATCATCTGAGGTAATAGCAACAAAACTAAACCCCCGAAAGAGCTGATGTGCATTAGCACTAGGTGGAATGCCAGGTGAATCTGAAAAGAAAGAGCGATTACTAAGGAGGTAATTGCTTTAAAACGTAATTAAGGCAAAAAAAAATTAAGGGGAACCCATGGCTCATGCGTAACTCTTGCTTCCAACATACGTCAGTGAGGCACTTAATCAGATTAAATCTTAGCTTCTGAGAGCTCAGAAAATTGCCAACTCATTTGAAGACTATAATAAATTAATCAATTACCGGGTCAGATCAAACCCAGGGCCTCACACATATAAAATGCTATATCATATTAAATAGTTACGTGTGGCAACTAACTGCCATTCTGGATATTATGCCTAAATGAGAGCCTAAGAAAGTGATAGTTGTAGGCTGGGGAAAAATAAAGGTCTATCTAAAGAAATTCGGTTTCCAGTGGTCGTATACTTGATGTCAGAACCTTGAAATATAGATCCCAAGTTAAAAATTGTCACATATACATCACATATATTTGATGAACAAAAGTAATTTCTTGAATAAGCTCAATATGTAATTCTTGAAATATATTTTAGGACATGATATGTATTGTTACTCTAATGATGTGTTGTCTATTAGCATTAATGAAGACATGCTTTGGCGATATAATTCATATTCATTATGAAAGTAACAAAAATGTTATTAATCATTAGAAACATAAAATTCACCATAAAATATTTAAAACATACTATTATAAAGGGGTTGGAGCGATAGCCCAGCGGGTAGGGCATTTGCCTTGTACGTGGCAGACCTGGCCAACTCAGGTTCGATTCCTCCGCCCCTCTCGGAGAGCCCATCAAGCTACCTAGAGTATCTCGCCCCCACAGCAAAGTCTGGCAAGCTACCTGTGATGCATTCGATATGCCAAACACAGTGACAAGTCTCACAATGGAGATGTTACTGGGCCCGCTCGAGCAAATCAACGAACAATGGGAGGACTGCTATAGTGCTACTATTATAAAGACTAAGAGCAGATAAAAACAAATAGTACATGGAAACGTCAACTGCAAAGTTAAAAATACCAGCTCATTATTTTCAGTACTACATAGTGTGGAAGTATTATGGTTAAGGTTTCTGCCAGAAGAACCTATATGGGCTGAATGCAGTATAAAACTACACGAGATTTTTTTCCTCTAGCAGGACAAACAGTACTGAGAAAGAACCAAACTAAAGCAATGACTGTATATCTTCAATTCTATGCATATTTCTTCATCCATTGATCTTCGAAACTTCTAAAATATTAATACCCATTATTATAAATACAGAGTGAGAGGATTTGTGTGTGGTGCTTTTCAAGCATTGCTGGGGGCTCTGGAGGTTCCGTCCAGAGACACTCCCTCTGGCTGTGTGTTCTGGGCTACCTCTTTGAGCTATTTCTCTGGCCTTTGTGGGGATGGTTTATTCTATACTGTACTTTGGTGATGCAAGGGATCACCTCTGGTGGGGCACCAAGGCGCCATATGAGGTGCCAGGGATTCAGTTTGGCCTTGTGCAAAGCAAACGCCCTATCTCTCTGCACAGACCCTTCCGAAACCCCATGCCCCTGAGGAGCTTTAATAGCAGGGCTCCCCTCCATCCAGGGACCAGCCATGTTGGGGATCTAACCAGTGTGTCTCAAACAAGGCAAGTGTTTTCAGAACTCCTTCCTATCTCTCAGTTGCCTACAGCAAGTTTTGAATGCTTTTTAATACAGAAAACATATGCAAGTACACTTTCTTTTTATTTTACTACAAATACATGCTAAGTCTGATGTATGGTACACCTAAATGAGTGTCTGTGATACTGTGATTTGTAAACTAAGTTTATAGTAAATCATTTATATGATCCAAACCTTTGGAATTTCCTGAGGGCAGTGATAAAGGAGTCTTTACTATGTTTTACTATGTTAATGAGATGACTTTTTTTTTTTGGAGGAGAGGGCTCACTGACTGATGAAATGGTCTTTGGGAGAACCATCCTCTCTCGTCAAAAGGTTGAAACGTTTCAGTCCCAACCAAATGGACGATGATTTAGTCAATCATGCCTTTTGAATGATGCCTTCATAAACACCCGAAAGGACAGCGTTCAGAACATTGCTGAAGTTATAAGCACTGCACTTGGAGGAGCATAAAGCTCAAAGCTTTTTACCAAACCTTACTCTATGCATCTCTTCTACCTGGAGGTCATCTGCATCCTTCACCACATCCTTTTCTAATAAACTGGAAGTCCAGTAAGTAAAATGTTTCTAAGGCCTGCACACAGTTCTAGCAAATTCAAAGAAACTAAAGAGGGGGACATGGGAACCTCTGGTTTACAACTGGTCAGAAGCAAAGCAACAAGCTGGAGTCGGAGTCTGTTATTGGAGTCTGGGTCTGTATGTATGTGTGTAACTGAGTCCTTAACCTGTGGGATCCGCATAGTGTCAGATGCAAACTGTATTGCAAGAAACCCAGTAGTTGTTCTGAATGTTGCAGGAGGTGCATAAAAGCTACCCTACCCTCATTGAAATTGGGTACAGAGAACACCTCTTTTAAGGGTTGGAAAAGTGTAATTTTCTACCATGTTCCCGGCTGATGAAAGCTTGTGATTAGCAAAGACAAAGGACAAAAGGGTAGGGAATAAGGAACCTTTGCTTCGTGTGTAGTCACATGACCCACCCCTCATGGTTTGGATTAGCAGCTGTGCCATGCTCTCAGCTATTAAGGGAACAGTCCCAAATGGACTTTAGAGCCGGATACTTAAGGAAATAAAAACTAAAAACAAGATTAGCCATGACAGCCAAATTAAAAGATGTCTGGTTGGATCTTCAAGCAAAAGCATACTCAGATTTGAGAAGTTTGCTGCCCTTTAAGGTTAAAATTGTTCAGGGACAAAAATAAGGACCATTAAGACGCCTGCTGATCAAGAAAGTCATGTAGGGGAAAGTCACAATCAAGAAACCAATGAAATCAGAATGTACAGTATGAAAAATGTTTTTCTAGGTTTTTTTTTAATGGTGGTGGTTGGGGTCGGGGGGGCACACCTTATGATGCTCAGGGGTTACTCCTGGTTCTACTCTCAGGATTCAAGCCTGGTGGTGCTCAGAGGTCCATATGGGATGCCAGGGATTAATCCCGAGTTGGCTGCGTACAAAGCAAGCACCCTACTCACTGTACTACTGCTCTGGCCCAAGAGTTGTTCTGTTTTGTTGCTGGTATTATCAGCTGCCTGATGAAACTTCACTGAAATGGAAGGGGAATGGCTCATTTGGCAACTGTCTCCGGCTTTGAATGCTGCAGTGTTGAGGACTGATTATTGACCCATGGCTCAGATGGTTGGCTGGGCCCAGATACAAAAAGTTCCCGAGGGAATGGCCAGCCTGGTGGACTGGATGAAAGTCACTGTAAGGCTGCTTTACTCTCAGAGGAATGATCTGCTAAAGTGCTTTAGTATTCAAGCCTCGTGGGACTGGTTTTATGACAAAATGCTGAATATGTGCAACGCTCCAGGTGGTGACAGATACTGTGGTTAAGAAGACCCTTTCATATAGACACCTTAACCTTAGTGCTACAAAACCAAAAAACTCCCTTAATTTGTTCTCTCGGCTTCTGCTCATGGGTCCTATAGACACACAAAAATATTCCGAGCTAATTAACAAGAGGGGCTGGAGCGATAGTACAGCGGTTAGGGTGTTTGCCTTGCACATGGCCAACCCGGGTTTGATTCCTCTGTCCCTCGGAGAAGACGTTACTGGTGCCTGACAGTGCTACAGTGCAATTAACTAGAGAAAGGGGGAGATTATGCCAGGCTTAATTGCCAGACTGAGTTGCCCACGGCACCCCAGAGAAGGGTGAATCCAGCAACTGCCCAAATAGAGCCCTGGTAGCCAAAAACCTCCATACACCACAATCACCGCCATGCTCCAGACTGTACTCCACTGCTCGGGATGAGCCTCATCCAGAAAATCATCTGTTGACAATCACAGGTATGTGGGTTTTGCGACGGAAATCTCCAGGATCTCACAGAATCAGGGATCGGGTACCTCACCCCATATCCCTGGTTCTTCTGGAAACCTGGCAGTCACGCCCATGAACTGCCTTTGGTGACAAATAAGTTCCTTAACTGGCCAAGATCCAGAGACTCATAACTAAATCTCAAAAGAGATCAACAAGTTGCAGAGATGCTTCCAGGCCCTGTGCCAGACTCTGTCACCTGAGGCACCTAAAGTCACAATCCAGTTAAAAATGTAACATTCAAAATTCCTGGAGCTCATGGCCGCATTTACAGCTGTACAACATCTCAAACTCTACACCACTGATAAACCAAGAGTAGCACACTACACTGGATAGAATGTAAAGTAGAAGGCAACCAATCTCCATTAAGAAAATATAAACAAACAAGGCTTAACCTGTAACAACATGTGAGTAATCTCTTCTACTAGGGCTTAATGACTCCATAGTCAGATACAACAATATTCACATGCTTTCTTATAAGGAAATATCTTTTGATCATGTGTAGCGAATTATAATAAGCAATATAAAATAAATTTTTCAGGGCCTGTTATGGGGATGGGCTCGAGGGGTGGTTGGGAAAAATGGAAATAATGGTGGGACGATGCAATGGTGGTGGTACTGATTGAAATACTGATTGTAATAAAGCATGAATACCTTTATAAAAATAAATAAAAGAATTTTTAAAAAAAGAGAAGGGGAGAGACTGATAGTAGTGTTCAGAAAGAACAACATGGTCACTGATGAGGTCAAAATACAAGGTTTTATACTGTTATAGCACTACTTAAGACTGAGTGGGCCAAAGGGACTTGCTGTTTGTTGGTCTCCCAACATCAATGAGACCCCTTGCTATTCATTCCTTGCTATAGGATACCTGTGAATAGCCAACTTACAGCTTTATTGATAAATCCTGGACTCAGAACACAATTACACTAAGAGAATACTACAATGTAATAGCTCACTGGATTAAAGATAACTGGAATACTAAAAAAGATATTATACAAAGAAGTTGAATTTCCTTTGCCTGAAGTTTTATTGAGCATGTGCATTTATCTCTGGGTTTCCCCATGCAGAACAGACTCACATGACTATTCTCCCTGGGTGCGTGTCACAATTTACTTGAATTGCAAGACACTCAGCATTATCCAGGGCATTGCTGGTGTGGGCTATTCCCTCAAATTAGACACTGGTACTGGAACCCCTTCAGTATTAAGGGTACGAAACAGTTATTGTATCTGTGTTATATGCTAATGATGCTAATGATACCTCGCCATTTCAAAGACCACTTCTCTGTAGTAGTCACTGTTAATGCTACTTTAGACTAACACATAACACAAGGTATGAACAACTTTAAAGTTATCACACTTTATATAAAATTTCGGTTATGTTTAGGATTCAAACTTTACAAGTCGTTCCAGATTACTACCTAGTATTAGAGTTTTAAAAAGCATTTTTATGCTGAAGTTATTTCATGTAATAATAGCTACAGGTAAGTAAATGCGCAATCAAATTTTCCCAATTAACTATTATCAGAGTTTCAGACACAACGTAATTTGTTAGAAGATTTTACAAGGACCTTAACTGCTATAAAGTGCTGAAAAGTATTTACTAACAAATTATTGTGCCAGGAATATGATGAAATAGACATAAGGGCAGCATGGAAAACATTTTATGATAATAAACAAAATTATAGTCTTATATTTGGATTTTCATATTTTCTTCTTACCTTTGGGAGTTTTTGCAGTAAACTCAGGATCAAAATAGAAAGTATCTTCAGGCCTGCCAGTTGCAGGTTTAAAAGGAGGATGAATTTCTCGTCTGTACAGTTTCTGGAGGTTAAAAAATAAAAAGAGAGACTTACACATGTGACAAGATGAGGCTGCTAAAATCTCAGGGCTGGGAGTAATAGAGACGTTACTGGTACCCACTGGAGTAATTCAACAATCAACGGGATGACAGTGATACACATGTGTAAATCACTGAAAAATAACCTCCCAAGTAAGTTATAATACTATACTCACATTCCAGTCTATTGTTGAGAAAAATAAATGTCTTTTTATTTCTTCAACTCCATCTGGTCCTGCACCTATTAAAATGAAAGATCATAATTAAATAGCAATTTTATTTCAAGGGGAAATATTTATTCAACATTTATTTATTGCTTTCAATACATGACTTAATATTTCATAATCCCACAACACAAACATATACCTCTTTCCTCCCCCTAAAATAAACAGCACCACACACGAGAAACAAATTAATTTAAAATTTTTACCTAATCTGTTGGCAGGATTTCGCTTGAAAAGCATTCGTAAAAGACTCTGGGCTTCAGGACTCAAAAACTGAGGCATCCCAAGTTTGGCTCTAAATAATAAATTCACATAACAGCATTTATTTTTTAGAGGCATCTACTTTAATTTAAAATTTCAATTAAACTTTACTTTGAGAAGAAGTGTAGACTCACTCAAGTTTAAGAGATGATAGAGATTTTGCACATCCTCTGTTTAGTTTCCCCAGACAATACAGAACTGTAATACACTATCACAACCAGGATGCTGGTATTGACACAATCCATCTAGCTCATCATTCAGATGTTTTGGAGCCCTTAATTTTTCTTTTCTTTTTCGGTCACACCCGGTGATGCACAGGGGTTACTTCTGTCTTTGCACTCAGGAATTACTCCTGGCAGTGCTCGGGGGAACCATATGGGATGCTGGGAATCGAACCCGCCCTACCCACTGTACTATCGCTCCAGCCCCGTTCCCCAGTCTTAACTACACTATTTATATATGTGTGTGTTTTCTGAGGGGTGCTTTTTAGGCCACACCTGACAATGCTCAGGGGTCACTCTATTGGGGCTCTGGGGACCACAGGCAGAGCCAGAATTCGAAACCTGGTCAGCTGTGAGCAAGGTAAGCGCCCTATCTGCTATACTATCTCTCCAGCGCAGCATGGGTATGTATACTTCTCTGTAATTTTAATTTTATATGGAAGCTCCTGTATCCAGCAGCACAGTAAATCCATGTTAGAGTATATCAGAAAGGGATCCCTAACATTGCCCCCTTTATAACTATTTCCATCTCCCTCCTTGCCTTCAATCCTAATCCCTACTGACTAGTCGTCTAGTTTCCATTTTTATAATTTTAAGAGTTTTCTTTAAAAAAATTCAACGTATTCATACTATTTATTACCTTCTTTCACTCAGCTTAAGTACCACGAGAGTCATTTAAGTTGTGTGTATCAAAGTTAATTTTTAATTGCGAATTTGTTTTGCAATCAATTAATTATAATTCTTACTGTACTACAGTTAATTCATTTTCCTGCTGAAGGACATCTAGGCTGAATCCAAATTTGGGCTATTATGAATAAAGCTGCTCTAATATTTAGTGGCTGACTGTCATGGGGTTGGAGAGATTACAGTAGGTATTATGCCCACCTTGCCTGTGGCTGGCCAGGTTTAATCCCTGGCATGGTCCTCTGAGGGCACAGAGGAAGGTGAAAACCTTGAGCATAGCTGGATGTGGCTCTCAAAACAAAACAAAACAAAACAAAGCAAAAAAGGACTTTGTGATGAGGGGTTAAGTCAATGGCTGAGTGCCCCTTATCACTTCCTACAAGGGCAATCAGGCAGATGATGCCCACGGTGTGGTCTTGCTGGAACTCCTTTTTTCAAAGGCAATTTAAGAAATTTAATATTTGAAATTGCAGAAAGAAAATGTGCTGCATAAGCCTAATTTCTCCTCATATTCTCTTTAACTGTCCTGCAGGGAAGAACAACTGGTGAGAAAGGGGTCTGGGGCACACCTCAGGCGCTGTGACACACAGTATAAAAACCATTGGCTGATATGAGCTTAAAGGTCTGTTTCTGTGAATTTTTTCCCAGTCTACAAATTAAGGAAATTAATCATTCCGTAAGTATGGAAATGAAAACATTGCTGGGAAAAATGACCAGCTGAGAAATTTCTATTTCAAAAATACATCCATTTATTATTCAGTGTGTTGTTATTGGAGTACACACTGCTTAGTGCTGAGTTGACAGATAAAGATAACCCTAGTCCATGGCCAAGATGGATATAGGCAATTTTAGTAAAATAATAAGACACATTTAGACACATGAAAAAAGTGCTAATGAAAGACATATGGATAGCTTATTTAACACAAGAGACTGTGAAAGGCCTTACACATAATTTAAAGATTCAGAATTCATTCGTTTGGACAGTGTTCCTCCCAAATTTTACTGAGTAACATTAATTTCACTAGGTACTTGCAAGAACAAAAGACTTTCATGTTCTAATATTTTGGCATTGGATTTTACACAATATTTGGCAGATATGTGGAATGTTAAATATTATATTCTCCCTCCCCCATATTCTCTACAGTGACACAGTTTAGTACATCACATATACAAGGCTGATAAGGAAATCATTATTATTATTATTATTTGCTTTTTGGGTCACACCTGGAAATGCATAGGAGTTACTCTTGGCTCTATACTCTGGAATCTCTCCTGGCGGTGCTCAGGGAACCTTATGGGATGCTGGGAATCGAACATGGGTTGGCCGTGTGCAAGGTAAACGCCCTACCCGCTGTGCTATCGCTCCAGCCCCAGAAAATCATCATTTTTGTTTAATTTTTAAATTTTTTATTGATTCATAGTGAGATACACAGTTACAGAGCTGCTCATGATTGGATTCCAGTCATATCATGTTCCAACACCCATCCTTTCACTGGTGTACATTTCTCACCACCAATGTCCCCAGTGTCCCTCCTGTCTCTGTCCCGCCCCACCCCCACCTCTATGGCAAGGACTTCTCTTCTCCCTCTACACCCTTTCTCTGGAAATCAATATTTTCATGAACATTCATTTTTGACGCTCACATTTCAGAGAGTATCTACTAACAATGTAAAGAACTAGTGTTTTGGTGAACAAACCCGGGGAAACAGCATTGTTAGGGAACAGGACACAGCAGAAGTCTGTGAACAGTGAGCTAACATGATCAGAGCTATTTTGAGATGGTAACTCCAAGCGCAGCACAAAATAAACTGGAATGGGAAGAAATGACAGGCAGCAGATGTTTCACTTAGGAGCAAGCGTGGGTAGGAGGTCAGCAAGGTCTCAGATCTGTAAGCAGATCCCTGCTGGAACACTCAAGTACTTCTGAGGATGAATTTGGTGAATATATGCATATGCAAGAGAGAGCAACAAATCAAGAATGATTTCATTTCCCTGATGAGGGAAGTAAGGGACATAAAAATGCTACTTACTGGGAAGATGAAAAATAGACCAGCAAACGGACATGTATTTACTTTAAAGATGTTAATCCCTGCTTGTCATAGGCAGCCAAACGGATGGGCAAACAGAAATACAGGTCTGGCTTTTGATAAGTCAAAAGGAACCATTACAATTTTGACAGTAGATATAGGAAAGACTGAGGTCTGCCTAGAAACTGAATGGAATGGGAAAAATATGTCAGAGATGGAACTCTGGGAAACAAGAACATTTCTAAGGTGGTGAAAAAATCCTCAACAGGGCCAGAGAGATAGTTCAGCAGGCAGGATGCTTGCCCTGCATGCAGCCGACCTAGGTTTGATCCTCAGAATCCCATATGGACCCCTGAGCCGCTAGGAGTAACTTCTGAATGCAGAGCCAGGAGTAGCCCCAGAGCACTGCCGGGTGTGGCCCTCAAACAAACAAACAAAACCTCAACAAACTAGGCATTAATATAATGAAAGCAATCGGCTGAATTATACTGATGATTAAATCCCATGAGTTTTTAATCGTGAAAAAATAATAGTAAAAATGAACACTAAAACTCAACTCACTGGACAACAGTGGCTCTGGCAGTAATTAAAGCTCTGGCAATGGGAAATAATTTAGCAAAGAATTACGCATTTTATTACATTTTTCTTGTTGAAATCTTATTCTAAGGTAACTAAATACTTCTAGGGTAGATGATGGGAAGCTCATTGTTTGGAAAACACCAGCTAATCAATGAGGAAAGAAAATAGCAATTTGAAAATCACAATTTAAAAATCCTTTTTAAAAATTCAATGACTCCAATAATGATTTTCAATGAATAAAACCATTAGAAGAAAGCCTGAGAGGGAAATTTCTAAGGGAGGATTAGCTGTAACCACAGGAACTCGGCACTTAATGTGTTGCAAGCCTCACGAGGTGATGCAATAGGGCGCAACAGCATAAGCTCTGAAATAATCCTGCCAAAAAGTTAACTCAAAACTGGGTAAGAGAACGAATTCAACAACATCACAAAGACAATAGAGAAGTTTCCACATTCCTAGGGAAAACCTCATTACTATTGCAACCACAAGAGTCACCAGAACTGTTTTACATTCGCTCAGTTGCTGATCAAAGAAAATTTCCCTGTGAGTGTACTTTCGCAAACCAGCCAGGAACTGCTGTCCGGCCGTGGAGATCGGGAAACAAGAACAGACTGACTCCCTCGTGCTCGAGTGCACACCCGTGAGCACCAGTTCCGGGGAAGAGACTGCATACACTCTTACAGACGGTGGCAGCTCACTCGAGGCTTTGAAAACCAGATTTTCCAACTCCACCTTTTCCCTGAACCCTGGATCAGTAGTCTATTCAGCTTGGAGTGAGCAGGAAAGGCAGATAAGCAGAAAAAAAATTAATAGTTGTTGGGGAGAGGAGGAGTGTCCAGCATGGATCAAATATTCCCCAGAGACAGCTTCCTTTTTGGTGAGGGGGCTCCCTGGCAGGGTGACATCCACCCAGGTTCGTGGGGAGCCGGGGACCGAATCCAGAGCCCTGTGTGTGCCGGTCCTGCTATCTATCTCCCCGGCTAGGGAAATTTTCTAGAACTGTCCCATATAAAATGAATCCTGTCCCCTACCACTTCCTTCACACCTCAGGAGCATGCCAGTTGATTTCTCTCCGCATCATGTTACTACCTGAAATTAAACTTATTCATATAAATATTAGTCCCTTCTTTCCGCTGCCTCGCACCCCCCCCAAGAATGAAAGCTTGGGAAGGTCAGAGATTTTGCCAGTCTTTTCGATGCTCCATCCATCCTAAGATGTGCATCATTTGTTGAAAAAATTGTGGGAACAAATGCTCCAGTCACCTTTCTGATATGCTGCCACTGATTTTAGCAACCAGAAGATCACTGAGGAGCAAAATAGTAGCAGTTCCCATAGAGGGATGGGGAGGAAAAGACAGTCAGCCTTGGAATAAAAGCAACCAAATAAATAATAACAGAAAGCAGATTCTTCTCGAAAGCAGTTTTGTGCTGGAAAGACACAAGAAAATGGTAAGGAAAGCTGAGTCAAAGAAAGGATTTTTTCCTCGTTTTGTCCCACGGAGTGACAGATGTCGCTGGCACAGCGCCAGGCCAAGGATGCAATCCAGGGGATTTTCTCTTAGCACCAGCTACCAAGTCCTGGCCCCACTGCCCAGGGGAGGACCTGTGAAAGTGCTACGGGTTTAGTTTGTTTCATGAGAGAGTATCAGTTGAAAGGAAGAAGCAAGAAGCAGATGCGGTGATGAAGGTTCAGTAAGTATTAGTTTACGTAGCAAATTAGTGAAAAATAAAAAGTGAAATGAAACCCCAAATCCCCCAAACTCAAAACCAAGAAATGATTTACCCCCCCTAAAAAAGTGAAGAGAAACCTTGCCAAGAAATACATCGTTGCCAGAACCCCTCATCCAATGTAATCACTTTCCCCTTATGTTGCTTCAGGTTCTTGCCATCTAAAAATGGATCCTAGAAACTATGCTTCAGCTTGTCTAATTTTAAACTTTTATATATAGAATCATGTAGTTTTTATTACTCTGTACTGCCTTTGCTCAACATTCTTGTAAGATTTATTCAAGCGGTTGCATATAACTGTGTTTTGTGATTTAAAAAAAAAATTCTATGGCATACTATACCCACGGGTCAAAGACCTTGATCTGCTGTTATGCTATTCTGGGTCATACCCGGTGGTGCTCAGGACTTAATTCAGCTCAGTGTTTAGGTTTCACTTCTGGCAGGGCTCAGGGGAACCATATATGGAGCCAGGGATTGAACCCTGGTCAGCCATGTGTAAGGCAAGCTCCCACTGTACTGTCTTTCCTGCCTTCTTACACGGTTCTTGAATTAAGAACTTTCGTGTCTTTAAGGTGCTAGGAAGTCCCAAAGTACTTAGAGACAGTTTATCAACCCTTACTGCAGTACACTGAATACAGAATAATTTAGTAATCCACTTTACCCATCAGCTTCCAGTTTTTGGCTATTATACGCAACGCTCTTATGAGTATCTATGTACTTTTTAAATTTGTTTTTGGGTCACAGCCAGCAGTGCTCAGGGATTACTCCGGCTGAGTTCAGGGATCAGGGGACCGTACTGGGTGCTGAGGATTGAAGTTGGGTCAGCCGTGTGCAAGGCAAGTGCCCTACCTGCCATACCATCACTCTGGTCCCATGCCTGTTTCTTTATGTACGTGCGCATAAGCAAGTACTTAGATATAAATAACTTGGGTGCATAGGAGAGGGAATTATTGGATAAGCATATATGTATATATGTATGTATGAAAATGTATATACATATAAAATATAGGTGACCTTAGAAGATAATGCCAAAGATAATGCCAAAGGATTTACATCTTTCAGCTATGTATGCAAGTTCCCAAATGCTCTACATCCGGAGAGCAACTCCTACTGTCAGTCTTTCTACTTGGTGCGGTTACGGTTGTTACATCACTATAGTGTTATGGTACTGGAATCACACAAGGGCCTGAAGCAGGCGAGGCATGAGCATTAGCACTGAATTACATTCCCGGCCCCTACTGTGTGTTTAAGTTTCTGGTGCCCAGAGTCAACCCAATGCGTGCGCTCTACCACTGAGTCACATTTAGTTCTACCATTGAACAATGTGTGATTTTAATGTGGAATTTCCAATTTAATGAGAGTAAATGCCTTTCTGTAAGTCTACTGGCCATTGGCTATCTTCTTTTGTGACGTTTTGGCCATTGGCTATCCTCTTCTGGGAAGTCTCTACATTTCCAACCCATGTTTCTATTGGTCTTTCTTTCACTCATTAATTTTTGATGTATCTGATATCTAATTCATACAAATTGGTGCCATGCATTAAAAATGAATTTTTTTCCTGTCTTTTTGGGCCACACTTGGTGGTGCTCAGAGACTACTCCCAGTACTGCTTGGGGGGGGAGGGGGGGAGCACACGGTGCTAGGGCTTGAACCCAACACTTCGACATTCTACATACACTCAGTTCATTAAGCTATCTCAAGTCTATGTGCTCTAAATTTCTTATCCTTTCTCTTAATCGAATCTGTAGAAAAGAACAAGTTACTAATTTTTTTTAATTTATAAGGTTACTAATTTTTAACCTATTCATAATTTATCATTTCCTTGATGACTCTGTATTATAAAGACTACTTTCTAAACTTCAGAGTTGAAAAATTCCAGATTCTGGCTATTGTAAACAGTGGTGCAATAAACAAACAAGTGCAGATGTCACTTCGACTATACTTTTTTGCCTCTCCTACAGAAACTCTTGTCTTTTTACATATATCTGTATTACTTAGACAAGAGTTTTGTGTTTCTTCTGTATGAATACAGGCGGGGGAGGGGCGGAGAATATAGCAGGTAGAGTGCTTACCTTACACATGGTCGACCAGGATTTGATCCCTGGAATCCCATATGTTCCTCTAAGCCCTGCCAGAAATGATCCCCAAGCAAAGACCAGGAGTAAGCCTGAATACAGCCAGGGATAGCTGTAATCACTGTAATCATCCTTACTTCCATCTCTGTGCTCGGGGGCTCTGGGGACCAGATGGGGTAGCAGGCATTGAACACAGGTCCGTTATGTGCAAGGTAAGAGTCTGACCTGCTTTACTCTCTCTCCATCCCCCTATTGTAAACAATATCTTTTTTAAAAAATCCACTTTGGAGTCAGGCACTTCATGGCCTCTGAGCACTGCTTGGAGCATCACCCAAAGAAGCCTCTAAGAACAGCAAGGTGTGGTCCCCAAAAAAACAACCCCCACAAAAGCATACACACGGGAAATAAGAGTTTATTGCTTTTACTCAGCAAAATTGATACACTCTTATTTCAAGTATTTTTATGAAAAATTTGATTTTCATGGATATAATTATTTTACTTAAATAATGACAATTTTATTTCCCTTTATTCACCCTACGTTCGTTTTTGGTGTTTCGATGACACCCAGTGGTGCTCAGACCCTACTACTCATGCTGTGCTTAGGGGACCTTATGGGGTTGGCTCTATGCAAGTCAACTGCATCACCCGCTATACTCTATGGTCAACCCAACCTCAAATACTGTTTGCTTCCCTCAGTCGGCTTGTTAACACTTGCAGGACAATGAGAATAACAGTAGAATAGGCATCCTGTCATTCCAAATCTCAAAGGGGGAAGGTTAAAATATTTCAACATTAGTACGAAGATAACATATACTCTAAATCTATGAAGTTTCTTAGAAGCATTAAAAGCACATATTAATGAATTTTTCAATATTTCTGACCCTTAAAATCTCAATTTTTATTTTGAAGCAATTATTAATCAGTATCTTTATAATTTAGGTAATGTGGTCATACTAGCGTTAATGTTTACGGTAAAAGAAAGAAGTTATTGCACCCACCACCAAAGTGCCCAATACCCTCCCCCAAAGTCCCTATGTTCCTTCTGGTCTGTATATTTTCAAGTCTCATCACAACATATTCACTAGAGTGTACTTACTTAAGGATCATAGTCATTGTTTCTTTTCTATCTTTTCCCTGGAAAGGCAGTGTACCAGTGAGCATCTCAAACTACAAAAAGGAAAAATAATCAAAAACATTAGTCAGATACTGTTAATCTCAAGCCTTAAGGTAAGAAAAGCATCACCAGAAAAAAATCTTTAAAAAATGCCATATAATCATACAAGTGATTCATATTTCTACTGGTTCATTACTGAAATTCACAAAAAAGCACCGCAAACCTTACCATCAACACACCAAAAGACCACCAGTCTGCACTCTGAGTATGACCTCGCCGATTAACTACTTCTGGAGCCATGTACTCCACAGTTCCACAAAAAGAATATGCCTTCTTTTCATGGTCAATAGACTCCTTACTTAGGCCAAAATCTGCAAAGCAACATTGATTTTAGAAATGTACTATAATCATTTATACACATGAAGTTTAGACTTTGAGTCCCAAGAATTAATAATGCTGGGGTTTGAACCAGGGCCTTAAACGTGTGAAGCATGAACTCTACCCTTAAGCTACGACCGTTTATGTGAATACAATATGCTAATTAGTATCTGTATCATGATTGATCTTTTCTCAGGGGGTGGAGGAAGTTGGTATCCTACCCAGTGGTACTCAGGAAATGACTATCACAGCAGTGCTCACCAGAACCTGCCATGCTCGGGATGAAACCCACAGCTCCCAGCTGCAGGGCATGTACCACTGAATGATATCCCCAGCCTCGCACTCAATCTTTTTTTTTTTTTTTTTGCTTTTTGGGTCACACCCGATGATGCACAGAGGTTACTCCTGGTTCTGAACTCAGGAATTACCCCTGGTAGTGCTCAGGGGATCATATGGGATGCTGGGAATTAAAGCCAGGTCGGTCGAGTGCAAGGCAAACGCCCTACCCACTGTGCTATTGCTCCAACCCCCCCACACTCAATCTTAAATGACAGTACACGCAGAAGAAACTAATTTAATGAAATGTGGTGTTTTACCTGTCAACTTGATGTGACCTTCTTCATCAAGAAGTATGCTGAAAGAAAAGTTAGAAATGTTTTCAAACAACTAGAAATTTAAAGAATCTAAAACTGAAATTAGGGTTAGGCATCAGATTACAAAACGTATTATAAAATATTGCCTTATGTTATGAATAGAAAAAGCAAAAGACGAAAAATTCATTTCAGGGGACGGGGAGAAGTGGGGAGAATGCTATAGTTACTCAGTACTTATTCCTGGCTCTGCACTCACGGATCACTCCTGGCTGACTTGAAGACCATCTGGGATGCCAGAGACCCATCCCAGGTTGGCTGCATTCAAGACAAATGCCGAACCCATGGTACTGTCGCTCTGGCCCCTCAAAATGCAGTTTTGCATACACAAATAATAGATCGTAAAGACAAAGCCATAAACTTGTGTAAGTGAGAGCACTGTTAGAAAAAAGAACGAAAACCTAGAATCTTCTCAGTTACTCTTTCGATGCCCATTCTGTAGATGTGATGCCACAGGAGACAGAGGGGCCACATAATTCAGTCGCGGTGCTTCAATGTCTGCCTTCTTCCATCTCTCCGAAAGCAGCTATCTACCACAGCCAAGTTTTCTCACCCTTAACTCAGACTGTGGGCTCCCGCTGACCCTGTTTCCTTCCCATGGCCCCACCCTAGAGGTGAACCCCCAGTCTTTTGTCATGATTTTTAGTTGTACACCTTAGGCTGCCCTGGGGTCCCACAAGGGGCTATATGCCACCCCTTTTGGGTGGCCATCCAGTCCACACACGTTGGTGCTCAGGGCTTACTCCTGGCTCTGCTTTCAGTGCTCAATCCTGGCAGGCTCGGGGAACATTTGGGGTGCCAACAATCAAATTTGAGTCAGCAAGTGCCCTGTCCGCTATAATATCACTTTGGACCGGCTTCCTCTTCCTTAGAAACACTGTATGAGAGTGTGTGGAGAAAAGGAAAAAGAAATCTATGATGAGTGAATAAGGCCTATCTGAAAGGGGCCAACAAGACATTCTAAATAGTTTAGGTGTCTTTTCCAGGGCACTAAAGATCATGTTTTTGGAAAACACTAGAGGGAAACATAAAGGGTTTTTAGTGATTTTCTTTTGTACCGTTGCCACTACATACAAAGCATGTGCTCCAAGACTGAGCTCTAGGCTCAATCCTGATGGTTTATTAGATACAGATCATGTAAATAAGGTCAAAGGGAAAAGGCACACAGGTTTTGACTTTAGCAGCTGCCTGCGAGTAATGTCATTAAGGAGTTGTAGCACTGTAGCACTGTCCTTCCATTGTTCATGGAGTTGCCCGACAAGGCACCAGTAACGTCTCCATTTTGAGACTTGTTACTGTTTTTGGCATATCGTATTACATCACTGGAGCTTGCCAGGCTTTGCTGTGTGGGCGGGATACTCTTGGTAGCAACCAGGGTTGGCTGCATTCAAGGCAGACGCCCTACCTGCTGTGCTACCCCTCCAGCCCAAGGTGTTGTAGAGAACAGTATTAAGCTGTAAAACAATAACTATATCTGGACAGGTAATTTAGTACACTGAATCCAAAGTTAGTATCCTGAATTCAAAGCTGAAGTAATAAATAATTTCCAAAGCTAAACCATAATATAGGCACTTCCTTTGAAACTTTTTGTTTTGTTTTTGGCCCACGACCGCTGGGTTCAGGGGACCATCTGGGGTGTCAGGGACTGACGCTGGGTCACCTGTGTGCAAAGCCTTACCCACTATACTATCTCTCTAGCCCCAAACGTCCTTCGAATTTTAACTGAAAAATAGAAAAGCCAAATCTTGTTATAATAAAATTTTACTATGTCAAAAATACTTCCCAACCTTCCTTCCATCATTAATCTGACTATGTTAATAAAGTTTATCAATGAGGGTAACTCAACAAGGGCATATATTTCAAATGTTTTTCATGATAAGGGACTTACAAAACAAAGATGCTCATCTTGATTATGTTTGATAAGAAATGGAGCAACACACTTAGGGAATACAAAAGGAATTATCATGCAGAGTGGTACTTACGCCCTTGTGTATAATGAGTACATGAAAGGGAGTTCCAAAGACAAAAAATACTCCCAAGTGCCAACAAACCATACTGCAAGTCACTCTCAGTAAATCTGAGTAAGGCAAATGCACTGGGGCAGAGGTCTCCCAAGGGGTACTCAAGAGGCTGGGGTCACTGCTGACAACACTTTGGATCAATCCAGGCAATCAATGTTAAAGCCGGGTGACGCAGTGCTGTTTGGACTCCGTGGTGCTGGGGGACATCAGTACCACATTCAGTGGTGCTCACAGGAACATGTAGTACCAGGGATTGAACCTGACGCCTTGTGCAATGAAAGGCATGCCTCCCTGACCTCTGAGCTATGTCCCTGGTCTCCACACATTAACATTACTAAGGGATTCTTTTTCTTTTAAGGAGTATAAGCCTGAATACTTATTTTCATAAAGAACTTATCATTTTGGGTGATAACATAAGTTGGAAAAACGATGAGAAATATCAGAAGTTAATCTGGAAAAAACAGAACCATATGAAACTAATCTGAAAATAAAATATATGAAAAAAAAGACAAAGTATAAGAATTTCAGCATGTGACTTAACAAGATTCCAAAAAAGTATTTCCTGCTTTCTGCTGTAATCCATGATTCAAATTTTGCATGTAAACATAATTTAAAATTCTTAATAAAACAGTGGTTGCACTGCTATTAATAACCAAAAAATCCCCCACTGAAATGTGCATTTTGTTTAGTTATTTGGGTTTTGGGCCACATCTCATGCTGCTCAAGTGCTACTTCCAGCTTTGTGCACCGGAATTGCTCCTGATGGTGCTCCGGAGATCCTATGTGGCAACAGGGACTGAACCCAAACCTCTTGCATGCACTCAATTTACTGAGCCATCTCTTCAGCCCTTGGGCTGTAAATTTTAACGGCTAAAATCTCCGGCATGTTATGTGAATTACATCTTGATATGTTGTATTAAAACAATTTTTGGGAGAGCAAGGCTTTTGACTGCATCCTTCAAAAACGAAAAAACGCCACCTCGCACTAAGTAGCAGCACCTCCCAGACAGACTCTCAGTGCAGTGCTCTTCCCTTCCCCTGCCCCGAAGTACTGCTAGGCAAGCCACAAAAAATCCAAAACCATAACAATAAAACAGAAAAGGAAATCAATGTTGTATTCATAGTGAAAGAGAGGAAGCAAAACCAAAAGTAAACCACAGAGGTACATGCAGTTTAAGTAATACTAATTTCTTGATAACTGCGATGGGATATTTGTTCAACTCACACTTAAAATTTAAAATCCGATGGAGGAGAAAATTTTCTTCCTCCGCCCCTCTCGGAGAGCCCGGCAAGCTACCGAGAGTATTCGATATGCCAGACACAGTAACAACAAAGTCTCCAATGGAGACGTTACTGGGCCCGCTCGAGCAAATCGACGATCAACGGGAGGGCCTTTACCTCTCCCTGAAAAAAATTTATTTAAAAGAATAGACAGAATGGGTAAGAGGCAGAAAGAGATTTGAGGGGGAGGTGTCTACTAGGCAGGATTCCCTGGAGAAGAACATTTTCAGTAAACAGTATTTGGAGGAAAACATTAGCTTTGTAGCATATCTTACATCCCCTCCCCCCCCAAAACAACACCTGTGGACTAGGGTTGGAGAGACAGTCCGGTGGATAGGGTGCTTAACGTGCAAGCAGCCACCCTGGCTTCAACCCCAGTCCCTATAATGGTACCCCAAGCTACACCAGGAGTGAGCTCTAACCCTAGAGCCAGGAGTAAGAAATGTGCACAGATGGGTGTGACCCAAATAGAAAATATTGAAAGGAAGAAAGGAAAAGGGGTTTGAAAATGTCATTCTAAGAATAAAAGTCAAGGAAAAAAATCACTAAAGAAAAGATTAGCAGAGCTAATGAAGAGAAAAAATACTTATGTAGGTTCAAGTAACAAATAAAAGATAAACTGGGGGCTGGAGTGATAGCACAGCAGGGAGGGCGTTTTCCTTGCATGCAGCTGACCCGGGTTCGATTCCCAGCATCCCATATGGTCCCCAAGCACCGCCAGGAGTAATTCCTGAGTGCAGAGCCAGGAGCAACCCCTGTGCATCTCCGGGTATAACCCAAAAAGAAAAAAAAAAGATAAACTACAAAAACTGATTTGCAATATGTATTAGTTTCCTTCTAACTTGTAAATATCCCTTACAAATCAATGTGAATAGAAAAATATACCCAAACCCTATATACCTATGAACATATATCTCAACCCTAATAAAAATCAAACCATACAAATGAAGGAAAACATTTAAAAATTAATAAATTTAAAAGTATGAGAACATAGGCACTCTAATATAATGCCTGTAGCACTTCTTCTATGAAGATATTTTATTTTTTATTACCTTCTAGATAATTATATCATACTGTATTCAACTTAGTAGCATGATTTCTTACTTTTCTGGTTTTAAGTCTCTATAGATTATTCCCAGGCTATGGAGATGGTCTAAAGCAAGTGCAAGTTCAGCCAAGTAGAACTTGACATCTTCTTCTGTGAACATCACCTGAAATAAAACAATATATTTTCTGATTTTATTTTCTTTTAGTGCCTGTGATTTTTACTTTTGAAGCTTTACCCTAAAGTTTAAATAGTATAAAAATCCATAAATTTGCTAATTTGTATGTTGATGTAGCCAGTTAACTTGTGAAAGAAATTTGTAAAAATCACGTCATAACCCAACATAACTATTCGTTTGCTAAAAGTGAATATGTACTGTGTAGGAAATAATTTTACATTTGTTAAGTGACAACTATATTAAGATTCTATCACCATTGCCCCACCATAGTAATGTCTTAAAAATAAGTTATTTAAACATATGCATGCTGAATTTCCATTGCTATTTGGTTAAGTGCATCTTATTGAAACATTACTGTTTCTATATAAGCTATAAGGTAAAGAAGCAGGATGAAAGACAAACACCATTTACCAATGGAAAGTACAATTTTCAGAATAAAATTTAAAAAAGAAATCTTTTTGGATCTGATTCTTTAATATAAATGTTATGCCACTAGAGAAAATACGACAAACATAATATTGAAATAACACTAAGCTTTAGTTGAAACAGGATGCATATAAAAAGATTAAAATAGAGATAAATTATATACCTCTTTGGATAAGCGTGTAAACAAATCTCCTCCCCTGAGAAAATCCAAAATAAGATACAGCTTCCCTTCAGTTTGAAAAGCTGAATGAAGAAACAGAAATTTCCATTTATATAATCACAGTTTGCTTCTTTAAGCTCACAGGAGGTCTACTAATTCACAAGTGAACATTTTCAGTAAATTAATGATCATATCAAAGATCAACATTGATTTTTACTAATTATATAGCCACTGATTTCTCTCTTTTTCGCGTGGAAATGTAAAGGTAGTGTTTCTTATTATGGAACCATTACAACATTTGTTAGACTTCTCTCTTCAGGCAATGGTCTCTCAGGATACAATTGTGTTAAAACAAGACCAGAATAATTCCCATCAGAAAAGGGACTTATTTAACCATGAAACAAAATACAAAAACTCTTTCACTTAGCTACACAAAAATGTAAGCTGTTTAACTTCAATTATCCATGGTAAAATCAGTATACCTTTAGCCCCTAAAAATACAGCACAAATGGCTTTGAGAAGAGGAAGGGGATGAAAATGTCAGAAATCTGGCATAAGGTGCTTCCTTGTTTTGAAGTGGGGCAAACACTATAAAATGGTGCCATATTATTACAAAACCCATTGGTTATTATTAACTGTTTATATGGCTGACTCAGAAATTACAACGTTTAAAAGAAACATAATCTAATGCAATAAAAGCTTCCCACGTTTGTTTAAGAAGTAATGGCTTTATTTCCATGATTTTATATGTATTTGCTAAACACATAAAGACACACAAATATACATTTATATATAAAAGTATATCTGAATGAACTCAGGCAAGTGGAGGATAAGCTGGGAGGAAGTTCACTACTTACCATAATGCAACTTGACAATAAAAGGATGATTAACTTCTACCAAGATATCACGCTCCATTTTTGTCCGAACACGGTCTCGAACTACAGAACATTATAGATATGGTTACATTGCAATAATTTTCAGAGACAAGTTTAAAACAAAATCATTTTTGGTGCCTTTTACTTTTTCCAAACAAAGCATTGCAATAAAATACAAAAGCACTAAAAGGTAGAATGGTTTTCAACACTTGTAGAAACTCGATTCGAACAACAATATTTAGATGTTTATAAAATGTGGTAGATTTCATGAAGGACATATACTAAAGGTTTTATTCTAAGGGGAGAAGGAAGGAGGAAAAAATAGACATACTGTGGTAGAACTGAATAAACAGATTTTTCTGAGTTAGATCTAGTTCATACCTTTGGAATCTTGAGCAAGTTACTTATTTAAATTTTCTCACCATCTCTTACCTCTCATCTATAAAACCGGGATAATATCTCTGTACTGTTGGGGACTGTGTGATCAGATCCAGGATAAGGTTTGCACATCCCAGAGCTTGGAATATGTTGAATGAAATATCCAACAAAATGGTAACCACAACATGACAAAATTATGTACTCCAGAAAAGTTTAGTTTTTCTCGTAGAGGAAGGCCAGTGGGAAGAGGTAGCATTAGGGTACACGTTTAAGAACTTTAGAAAAGAATTTAGAAGGCTCAGCAGGAAGAGTGGGGCTTACAGGAGTCAGGTTCAGGTATAAAGTACCAGTGCAGGAAACTGGTCGGAAGGAACCAGAGTGTGAAAACAGAGGTTCAGGAGTTGAAGAAGTGAGGACCAGGATTCTTGACAAATTAAAATGCCAGGATGAATTTTTTGACTGTGTAGGCAAAGCTCTCTTTTACCGTTCTCTGAACAATTTTTAAAAACTAATTAACTTATTTTGGTTTGGGGGCCACATGGGGCGATGCTTAGGTGTTACTTTTGCCTCTGTACTCAGGAATGACTCCCGGCAGTGTTCGGGGGACCATCTGTGATGCTGGGGATAGAACCTCAATTGGCCATGTGCAAGGCAAGCACTTTACCCACTGTACTATTGCTCCAACCCCTCTCTGAACAAATTCTATTTGTGAGGCACTAGAGAGATTTTTAAAAAATGCGTTTTTATTCAAGAAGCTCAATCAGGTGAGAATGACAGCAAATACATGAGTAGAATATATTCTGATAGTCTTTACTAGCTCAATGGGTTCACCAATAAAGGGGAATGGCCATTATTTTTCTTCTTTTTGCATAATAAAAAACTTAAATCATAAATGACTCCTATTTTTCTGGCTAGAATGACTTAATAGCTGTGCCAAAAGTGAAACAGAAAGAATGCGCTAGGGTTGGGGACACAGAAATATGAGTTCATTTTCTTTTCAATTTTAGGTGACCACAGACTTAAAAAAAAGGGCAGAAATAGGACCTCTGGGGGGAATAATTTTTAAAAGGATATAATTCCTGTTTTTTTCCATTCTACTTCTTTTCCACCTCTAACTGGATGAATATTTTGTGCCAGTAACTGAAAACGGGCAAATGAGGAATGGGAACTGATTGCTCTTGATGTCTACGCAGCTGCTCTTTTGACTACTGGCCCAGCTGGTATATTAAATTCAGTATCAATCTCGGATTTCATTATCTTATCCCATCACCACAACTCTGGTGTCTTATATCCAACAGGCCTTTTCTATTATTTATGTGAATAAGGTACATCATTAGGCCTGCTGAAAATTCTGTTCCAGTCTAGCCCAAATCTACTCTTTCCTACTGATACTCAGTATATACTACTTTGAATTAGGTAGCTATTATCATAAACCTGGATTCCAAATGCCTACTTCTTTCAATAATTACAAAGCTTACCAAGTTTATTATTGAAAAGTCATTCCTCTGTTTAGTAAGGAGCAAAAGTATCCATCAATTTATTTACTCTTTTTCTTTTAATGATTTTAAGAATTATTATCTTGCGAGATCGCTTCCTTATCTTATATACAGATACGATCTTGTTTAGTTGAAAATGAAAACTAAGATTCGCTCACTAAAGAAATCCTTCATGTTGTCTAAGAGAGGACTTTATAGTAATTCTAATTTGGTTTATTTTGCTTTTGTAAATACCAAGGGGAAAATATAAATTAGCCCACATTCAGAAATTTTGATAAGGATATAATGGTTCAAAGAAGGCATATTTTCATTGGCTGAATTCTAAAGTTTAAACAGAATTTTTTCATATGACTCATGCTGGCAAAGCAACTACATTCCTCTGAAATTTCTTGCACATTAATCACTAAATTTTAAATCCTCCTTTATTTCAACATGAAAGAACAAGAAGAAATACTACCAATGTTACTAGGATGATTACTAGACAACTTTTAAGCGACGGCTTACTTTTAGGTCCATAGAACACATACGACAAATGGTCGGTCTCATAAAGTAAATGCAATGCTGCTGACTTCTATTTGACTCTACTTTTTTGCAAGAATTTTAAAATGGAAAAAACCTATAGTCAAATATGAATGCTTTCACCTGTTTTCTTTCAAAACCTCAATGATTTTTTAGAAACGATTACACATAAAGTCAGATGACAAAGAATAGAAGAGAAAGAAGATAAGTCATTCACACAGCAGATCAGAGAAACTAAAATTCTAAGTTTCAGTGAAGTAAGACAATGAGAAAAAAGCAAAGTTTTGCCATACAATCCCTTCCAATCGGCTTTTTGGTATTTTACTATTAACCCAGGAAAAATATAAAAATTCACAAGTATCAGAAGAATGGCTCTAAACATAATCAGTTATAAAAATAAGCAAAAAGAAATAGATGGAATATAAACAGCAGAAGAAAACTTAAAAATCCAACCTTATAATTTAAATCTACTGAGATAGAAAAAGATGATATGCCAATCATGAAATCATGAAATAAGCAACGTTAAAAGGAGTGGGTGGATGGAAGCAGTATCTCCAAATAGTAAACTACAAACATTTTTAAAAGGAAAGGAATTAGAGACAGGTAACTAAGAGATAAAAAGGAAAACCCAATGGCAAAACATACATTAATACAAATCCTGATTTAATAGCTGCAAAACAAAAAAAAATCAAGACATAAAAATAGGGACAAAAGAAAATTTGAGCACTATATAGCATTTTAAGGCAAAATAATAAAGTGTGCTATTTCTTTTAGAATTCTTTAAGAGCTACGTGCTAAACTAGTTATGGAAGAAATTATAAAATGCCTGGGATTTGCTTCAATATAACACCACCAGGGAAGAGGAAGAATAATTAATGAAAAAAAGAATGAGGGGACTGGAGCAATAGCACAGCAGGTAGGGCGTTTGTCTTGCACGCGGCCGACTCAGGTTCGATTCCCAGCATCCCATATGGTCCCCTGAGGACCGCCAGGAGTGATTCCTGAGTGCAAAGCCAGGAGAAAGCCAGGAGTAACCCCTGAGTATCATCGGGTGTGACCCAAAGAGAAAAAAATATTAAATTGTTAAAAAAAAAAAGAAAAGAAAAAAGAATGATCTTTGCCTGAACGTGTTGAAGCAGAGATTAGTGATGGGCAATGCGGAAGCAAATATAAGTGATGTGGGATTTCTCTCTATTCTGTTTCGTTCTGTAAATGTCTGATGATATTTTCCATTAAAAATAAGCATTTTATGTATATACACACTCACATATATATGTAACTTAAAACTCAGATCTGTTGTCTGCAAGGGAAGTGCTCTACCCATTGCTCTAATGCTCTGGCCCCTATTAAAATTTTTAATATAGAAAGATTAGGGACAAGAAAAATACAGGAAATTACAAATGATAGTAAAAAATTTAAAACTCTGTAGAAAAACTAGGCAACAGTTGAGGCCATTCCTTAGAAAATATGAAAATTAAAGAATGATCTAGAATACATTCAAAGAGTAGCCACTAGAGGATGAAGAAGTGCAAAAGACTTTTCCCAAAGTTTGAAGTTTTTTCAGCTGAAGAACTTAGTTTCTAAATTAACAGAGGTTACTTCACATGTAGTGTGATGTGTTTTAAAACCTCCCACTAAGGAAACAACATGCTATAAATTTAAGAGCCCTAGGGATCCAGAATAGATTGAAAAGACTTTCAAAGAGGAAAGCAACTTGCACGCAAAGGACTGGGAATCAGAATGGTAATAAACTTCCTAATTGCAACACAGAAAAACAAAAGACAGAGGAAACAATGCGTTCAAATATCAGACAATTATTTCTGACCTAGAATTTTATGCTCAGCCAAATTACAGGGAAAGCAGAATAAAGGCAATTTCAGATATGCAAGCTCACACACACAAAAAAAAGCCATCTGTTCATTACTTCTGAGGTAGCTACTAGATTGGTTCCTTCAAATTCAGAAAGTTAAATGAACAAAAGGTAAATTGCCTAAAATTCAAGACGCATAATAGCAACTTCTTTTATAATTAGGCAACTCATAACCTTATTAGTCATGCGATTTCTAAATCTACTAGTAAAAATTCACTTAAAAAAGTTCAAAGTGAGCTCGGGATATGGCTCAGTTGTAGAGCAACTGATTCCAAGCACCATCAGAAAACAGTCCAGCTTTATAGACAGTAATAGGAACATATTCAGAATATCAGTAGTCAGCCTGGGGCTCTCCAGAGATCTACTGAGACTTTCCAGTACGTTCATACTACATGAACATTAAACAAGAGCAGCACTTACCTTTCAAAGTGGCCTTCTTCAACACTTTCATGGCATAAAGCTGTCTAGCATCAGAGCCGGAGATTTTTTTGACTAAGAAAACCTGTATTTCAAAAAACAAAGTTTACACAGTGTCACCCACGATCCCACTATTCCAAATAAGGCCCTGGCCATAATATCATTTCCTACCAGAAAGGTCTGGGTTAGGGAAACAGTTCGAGGTATTAGAGCACATGCTGCACAGGCCCGAGGCTAGGGTTTCCAAGCCGGTCTGACACGGCCCCTTGAGCAGCCCTGTCAGGTGCGACCCACGAGCAATATGTGGGGAGTAGTCGCCGAGCATCGCTGGGTGGTTGTGCCCCCTCAAGGAAGGCCCAGGCAGGCCCAGGAGTGGACTATTGATGTCCAAGCAGGCTTACAGGAGAGCGGAAGGACTTTTGCAAGCAGCTGACTCATAATAGACAACTACTCTGCTAGTTGCTGTTTTGAAGAAATGCCCATTTTGGGGGGTGGTATAAAAAACAGGCAAAATGGACTTTTTTCTGGTTCTCTAGTAGGTAAAACCAGTTCCTTCATCTAGCCATCCAGATAGCATTTTTTCCCTTTGCCTAAAATATGCATCTTCTATTTCTTTTCAGCCACTTGCCAGTCTTTCATAATCACGGAAAAAACTAAATTAAAAAAAAATTTTATTAGTGAAACACCATGAAATACAGTTGTGAACGTACAGGATTTTGTGCTTGGTTTTCAGTTATACACTGATCGAGTACCCATCCCTCCACTAGTACCCATTCTCCAAGACCAATGATACCAGTATCCCTCCCACCACTCCACCCCCTACATGTCACCCAGCCTCTGTGGCAAGGGATTTCCTTTTGTTCTATCTCTCCTTTTGGGCGCTGTGGTTTGCAAAAGAGGAACTGAGGGGCAATTATGTTTGGTTTATAGTCTACGTTCAGGATTATGACACCCAATGAATGGATAAGGTACTTAATTTTACCAATAAAAATTCGAGGGACCAAGGGGATCAGAGAGACAGTACAGAGTTTCAGAGGGTAGGTGTTTGCCATGCATACCGCCGACCCAAGCTTCATCCCCAGAGCCTCACATGGTCTCTCGAGTCGGCCAGGAGTCAGCCCTGAGCATTGCTGGGTGTAAAGCCAAAAACTCAAAACAAGATACAAAAACACTTAGGGATCAAATAGGTAAGCATCTTGCTAAGCTTGAGAGAGAGAGAGAGAGAGAGAGAGAAAGAAAGAAAACGAATGAACTGGGAATAAACCATAAGAATTGGAACTACAAGAGCCCATGCTTTTAACAGTAATGTCACCCTTTTGTCTTAAAAATGATTTATTATTAATCTGAACATTGCAGAACTTTAGGGATATAGCTTTATACCTCAACATGCGAACCCACCACCTCCAGTGCAATCCCACCACCAAAAATACATCTCTACCCCTTCCGTCCACCCATCCTTCCCTCTCCTCCAATAATCGTAGTTGTCACCAAGTCTGGGAGCGAGTTTTATAAACTTTTTTTTTCTTTTTGGGTCGCACCCGGTGATGCCCACGGGTTAACTCCTGGCTCTGCACTTAGGAATTATTCCTGGCGGTGCTCAGGGGACCATATGGGATGCTGGGAATCAAACCCGGGTCAGCCGTGTGCAAGGCAAACGCCCTACCCGCTGTGCTATCACTCCAGCCTCAAGTTTTATTAACTTCTGTGAGTCTGTTTGCATGACTTACATTCTACATACAAATAAAAGCAATGATAATTACGTTAATTTATTTACTTCACATATAATCACAAGTTTTATGGCAGAATAATATTCTATTTAGCATATACACCATAGCTTTTTCATTCAGTGGTCTTTACATTCAGGTTGACTTCATGTTTTGGCTATTTTATATAAAGCTGCTATAAACATAGGGGTGCAAATACATTTTCAAATGATTTGCTTTCATGAACTTCAGATAAATGCCTAAGAAGTATTATTGCTGGGTCACAGGATACAATTTTATATATTTTTTGACTATTTATTTATTTATTTATACAATTTTATATTTTAAGGAATCTCCATAGTGATTTCCATACAGGTTGCATTAATTTACATTCCCACACCTCCCCTTGAAAAAAAATATTTACATAGCAGGGCAGTAACAATTCCAAGATACAGAGTATGTTTTCCTCCTAATGTAACAACTATAATTATAAGCAGGGTTGTAACTGGGTGTAAATGAGTGAATTATATTTTTTTCTGTGGTTTGCCTTTTCTCGTAAGACCACAGGATACACAAAACAAAAATAAAAACCTTTAAAACTATTTAGCAATTAAAGAAAAGTATAACATGTTTAACATTTATCATGACTTAGTCACATCCCTGCCTCTTCCACCCCTTTTCACATCATATTATCATATACCTAAATATGAAGAGCACAATTCTTTTTTTTAATTAGTGAGACATCATGAGGTACAGTTGTAGACTTACAAATTTTTGGAAGAGCACAATTCTTAGATATGTTATTAAGCATGCTGGTTTTCCAAATATCTTTAATTGCTTTCAAAATATTTTATGGGACTTAAGCAAAAAAGGAATAAAAATTTTCTCTGTATAATTAATGGCCATGTTACAATGTGGCTAATATAAAACTATCAAAAAATCTATTCATTTTGACCATTAATTTCATGATCTTTGCAATCAAACCTTTGAACAGACTTGCAAAATGGACCTGAATTTCAACTTTTTTCTCTTGTTCATTCTTTCTAAAAAGTATTATTATCAGCCACAAATGGGAAGAAGAAATGCAATTATCATAAGGAATTAACTTTAGGGTCAGTTTCCAATTATCTACATTAGTGTGCCAAGCCATTAGAACAAAATCAAAACATAATTCATCCAACTGACTCTAGGGCAAGGCAGAGTTGCTCATTTTAAGAAATGGTGCCAAAGGTGATGGAAAACGACATCGAGTGCAAAACTCCAGAACTTCTGCAAAGATCCTAAGTATGCCTCTCCTAAAATTGCTCCCCCTCGCCCACCAGCCTTTGCAGCACCCTTTGGTTATTTTTCCAGTTAGTCGCAGGGAGTCAAACTATGGAGAGAAACCACTGTTAATCAGGATGGCTTCTTACTAAGGCAGAATGATGCTCAAACATTCAAGGTTATCAAAAATTACTAAGAATTTTTCTGAACGGATATAAATTCTACACTGGCAGAGATAACTAGGATTTATCTGATATTTATCTGTTTTTAAGATTCCCTATTAAGCTTCTTTGTGACATTCTACAAGAAAATTCTCCTGTTGAATTCCAAACTTTCTTCATCCATCTCTGAAAAAACTTTAGCACTTTTCAGCACTTTCACAAGTATTTGTAATAGATCAAAAATCATTTCAGAGGCAACATAAAAAAGTGTTTGATGGTTGCCTAAACTAGAGCTTAGAGTGCTTAAATAATTTGCTTGAGTCACAGTGGAGGTATTAGGACTAGTATTGCAAAGGCACCCAATCCTGTACTTCTGCTCACGTTACTTTAAAAACTTTCTTAAAAACTGATTGGAGACTTTGTGGTTTGCAATACTGGTAATATTGGTTTGTCTCACACATAACTCCAAAACCACACCTAGCTCCAACCTCTCTACACTAAGGACCAAAAGGACCATTTCTGCCACTGCATAGGCTTTGGTGCATTCTTGCTTCCTTGCTGTGTATCTTAAAGTCCCACATACGAGAGATCATACTGTAGCCATCTCCTTCCTTCTGCGACTGACTCCTTTCCCTTGACAATGTCCCATGTGTTTATTTAATAATTTTATGACTGGAGGTAACACTGGCTTACAGGAATGGAAATGTTTTCAATTCTTGTTTTGAGAACCTTCCAAGTGGAACTCTGGGGGACCAGGGTCCACTCCCAGTTCAGGAGATAATTTTTAAGTTTTATAAGCACCATGTTCCACACCACGCCCACTACCAAAATGCCAAGACCACCCCACCAGTGTCTACAGGACCCTTCCTATTCCTAACCTATTCCTATTCCTAACCGAACTTAACGTATTCCTAACCCCAACGTTCTGTGGCAACCTCTGTTCTGTCAGCAGAGGCTGAGGATTAGTTTTTTAGATATTGTCTAGTCCTTTGCTTGCTTGCTTGCTTTGTGTATGACATCTGGGTGAAATCATCTGGTATTTTCCTTTCTTCTTTAAACCTATTTTGCTTAACATGACCATCCTCAAGGTACCACCTGTGTTATAGTAAAATTTAAGATTTCATCTTCTCTTAAAGTTGAAAGTATTCCATTGTGTAAGTGCCATTTCTCTGTCCATTCATCTGTTGCTGGGCACGAGGCTATTTCCAGTTTTAGGCTACTGTAATTGTTGCTGAACATTGATTTGTCCTTGCTTCTCCTACAGGAGCTTAGGTTTACTGAGTTACTTTCACAACAGTGCTCCTGAGGCACACCCAATTCCATCAGGCAATAATAATCCTATATTGCTTTTTTCTTTCCTTTATGTCCTTTGCATGTTTAGCAATGTCCTTTTTGTACTGACACAGGAAGGCAGTGGATGCTATGCTTTTGTTACATGGGAGTTAATTGACTCCGAATAATATTTACTCATGGGCATCCATCCTATGTATTTAAGCCTCAGTTTTCCTTACTTCCCAACACTCCCAAAAAGAGGTTCGGAGCAAAAGACAAGGATGGACCCAGGGCAAGCTGTAAGCTACCCTAGGATCGTAAAAGGACAAGCTAAGAGCCTTAAGAAATAGAATGGTAAGAGCACGGTCATGGAACAAACTCTGTCATGACCTAAAAAAGGAGTAACTGAATAAGGACCCTGCTAAGGTTAGAAAGAGACTAACCTGGCCTGAGGACTATAGTCTGGGATGTATAGTGAGATGTCATCCCCAGGAGGAGCCAACCTTTAAGCTTAAAACATCTTTTACTGGGGCTGGAGAGATAGCACAGCGGGTAGGGCGTTTGCCTAGCACGCAGCTGAACCGGGTTTGATTCCCAGCATCCCATATGGTCCCCTGAGCACCACCAGAGGTAACTCCTGAGTGCATCGCTGGGTGTGACTCAAAAAGAAAAAAAAATTAAATAAAAAATAAAGTTGTATAAAAAATCTTTTACTGTGTTCATACAAAATTACTAGAAATATTATTCAATATGATAATTTAAACGGATTACTAGCTAAGAAAAGGAGAAAGCAATACACCTTTAGATGGAACTCCCACCCTTGAGTAGATCTCCTAGTAATCTAGATTGCTGAACCCTTAGATGAGACTTCTGTCCTTGAGATGAGACTTTAGTCCTCCTAGAAGAACATCCCCCTGAAAGAGGGGCTCTATATCTGTTTGTTGTTGTAATATTCAACCCTACCTATGTGTAGCCCTAGCCTTCATGATTTCTATATAACTATGCTGGCAAGGAGAGGAAAGGAAAAATAGCTACATTGTGAGAAGTAGGAGAGAGAATGGGGGAGAAACTACGCTGTAGGAAAATGGAGGTATAAGGATGAGGATGAGAATGAAATAAATGGTCACTGATTACAGCAGTCTGGGGCCTGGTTCCTGTTTCCCCATTCCTCCATTCCTTTGTCTGTCGCCGTGGGCCAGCTGCAGGAACGATTCTTGGCCACCCAACACATGTGTCCTGCGCACCCACGCTTTTTGGACTTCCAGTACTAACACTCAATGAACATATGGGTGTGAATACATCTTTCGAATCAATGTTTGTGGTCTTGGAATAGATTTCTATCAATGGAACTGCTAAAACATACAGGAGATGTAGTCCTACAGTGGCGTTGTCCAGAAAGACTGAATTCGTTTACATTCCCACGACCAGTGAGTGAGGACTTCCTTTTCTCTACCTCCCTGTTCCTGATCTTTTTTTTTTTTTTTATGTAGGACATTCTCACTGGTGCAGGTGACACTTCAGTGTAGTTCTGATTTATATTTCTCAGGGCACTCTTAATCTGTTCCCTCTGGCCGGTCACCAGCCTAGGAGGAGCAGAAGTAGTTGCAGATGCTGAATCTGATCCCACCAGAGCATGTGACCTTTCGAACTCCCCCATGAAGCTATTCTAGGCTCTGACAGGTCATTCCAGCTTCCTTGGCTTAGAGTGGCGTTTGAGGATGAGTAAGAGAGGAGACGCCCTATTTTGAATGTTTGCTATTTATAGTAAAGTATTTAAGTTACATTTAAAGAAACATAGGAAGAAGCATGTGAACTTAGCAGGGAACTAAAATATTATTTTTCCTGAAAGTCTAACATATAGCAAGCAAGCATTTGTTTGACTTATGAATAATATTCTGCAGTAAAATATAATTTCATCACAAATATGATATATTTGATTTATCTCACTTGCTTCAATACTTTCCTATGGTTATTTACTCATTTTTTGTAATAATATGTGAGGAATAATATATACAGAATAAGTATATTCTGTTCTATAGTCTATGTAATTTATATAGCTAGGATAATATGATAGAATAATATACTACTTGTTCAATGTTAAGACATGGTACAATTCATGGTCCACGTACTAAAGGAAGTTTAGTGACAAAGATGAACAATAAATAATTATACAATAAAAAAATAAAATGGCGTTGTTATGAATATGGGCACACATGCTCTAACAGAGTACAGAGGAGAGATGTAATCTAGTTGGGATTTCGGGGAAGACTTAACTTTGAGAGTCTAAATTTTAAAAAATGACAAAACAACAACAACAACAGAAAGGAGCTACCTAGCTGAGGAAGGGGTGATGGTGGGTGGTGTGGTTCGAATAGAGGAATTCTGGTGGGAGGGAGACAGGTGCTTAAGGACTGAAAAAAAATACTAATGTGGCCAGAACAGAGTCAGTGAAAAATATATAAAATGCTGCTGTCGAGGTAGCTAGGGGCTGGAATGAGATGCTCCTCAGCCGTCTTAAGAATTTTTTTAAACTATGAGATAGCCTCTTAGAAAGCTGTTCATGACTAGGTTTCAGTTGTAGTGTTCCAACACCCATCCCTCCACCAGTGTCCCCAATTTCCTTCCTGTCACTGCCTACCCCACCCCTATGGCAGGTCTCTCTCTCTCTCTCTCTCTCTCTCTCTCTCTCTCTCTCTCTCTCTCTCTCCCTCCCTCCCTCCCTCCCTCCCTTTTTGGGCACTGTGATTTGCAATTCAGGAACTGCCTTTACCTACTTTTAACACTCAGTTCTTGTCCAGCGTGATCATTTCCAACTATTATTGCCATACTGTTCTCTTCTCTATCTTACCTACCCTCTACCACACACATGCTTGTGGTAGATTGCAACCACTGACAAGTCCTCCTAGCCCTTGTCATGTTAAGAGATGTTTAGATTTTTTTTTCTAAAAGCAAAGGTAGGCTATTAAAGGGTAAAGGGGTAAAATGATAAGATGAACTAGAATTGGCTGTCATGCAAATACTTGAGGCGAAAATAAATTTGTTAAGCCAGAAAGAGCAGCCTCCTTCACTAGGTGGTGACACGAACTGAAAGAGTGGCAGGGGAGGAGAGGACAGGGAGGATTCCTTTACTAAATCCACTGACAGATCAGATAGATTGGGGGCAGATGGTGGAGGTAGAGAAAAAGCTGGGGACTGGAGGGTATGTCAAGAATGCCTTCCAAATTTTTCACTTATTTTACCTGGTGCTAATCATAGTAATAGAGAAAAATGAACTAGGGCAGGTTTGGAGGTAAGGGAATCATCATGACTTTGGTCTTAACCCATCTTAGACTTTAAAGATGAAATATTTTTAAGAATATAATTTTAAAAAGTGCCTCTGAAACATGCCACATGAACAAAATATAAGCAGCTATACATAGAAGTCAAAACTCAGAAGCATAATCTAGATTGGAGATAGAAATCTGTTATGTCAGTTGTGTGTGGGTTACAATTAATAGAGTGGGTACAAAAAACAATTAATAGTGAATAGAGAGAGAGAACAAGCAGCTTAGAATGGAACCTTGATGAACTTCAATACTTAAGCATTAGAGGAAAGGAAAGCATGGGGCTACAGAGGTCGAGTATGTGCACAAGCACACGTGGTACATAAACAGAAAATAACTAAATTTTTGGCTGGTGACCTAAAGTCTAAACTTATAACCACTATGTTTTGTTGGCCGTTTCATCTATATTTGGGTCCAAGTATAACCTGGGGCTTGAAAGGGGTCAACAGCTGAAACTATTAACTAAGAAGTGCTAAATAGTCCCCGTAACACATAAGAGTGCTAAACTTAGGTTTTAAGGGGACTATTTAAGGAATAGTGTTTTGAAGCCTGAAAAAGCATTACATCTTCAGATGATTCCTCACTGACAGGTGGTAAGGAAGCATTTGCAATGTGAAAAGCTGAAGGCAGGCTGAATTCTTCTCAGGTTGAGAAATGGACCAAGTAGATTTGTTTTAGTTTGGGAAACTTTAAACATCACTGACTAGAATACAAGCAGTGCATTCATTTTAAAGACAAGCTATATGTTCCCAAACTTTCATTCTTGTTAGAAGGTACATGCTACCCTACTGGGAGTACCCATGCATATTTAGCTGGATTAGGGACCCTGTGGAGGACTGGGATATGCTGCTAGATCCCCTCCCGTTCTTCGTGGAGACTCAAAGAGACCAAGCTCATCAAAGTCATGTCTTCTGATTTTTAATCACTCAACATGTGCACTTAGAGAAGTCCTAGGTCATGGAGATAATATGAATACTGTAACATTCAAAAGGTTTCAATGGACTCTGATTTTACTTTCCCATGCTTATTGACAGAAAAGTATAAACACAGAAAACCAACCATTGGTAGCATTTCATAAAATGCTTCTGTTTCTCACGTGCACGAAATACACATATATATGAATTTCCAAAACAATTATTTTAAAAAGCATGCGTACGTGACTTACCTTACCAAATGATCCCTGCCCCAACACTTTTAAAAGCTCAAACTGGGAAGGATCTGCCTTTTCATGTCCTTCCTTCACATGATGTGTGATTGCAATTTCTTTGATACTGCCTTCTTCCTGTTAGGCAAATATAGAGGAGAAAAGAGTTAGAGGCACGTTCTCTCACAACCAAACTATATAAATTTAGCATATCATATCATATATATCATATATCCTCAAACCACATTTATTAATTGACCAAGTAAAATATGTCAGGCAAATAGAGTTTCAAGTTAGACCGAGACTAAAACCAGACTACTGGGTAGGCCAATATAACATCTGTACAACATTAGTACTGAGCATTTCCAAGTCATCATTACCTGCTGAGGACAATTAGACTTGCTTCATAAGATGAGGAAAGTAGTAACAAAGAAATATCAAAACATCAGCGTATTCAGTTGTTCTCTGATATGTGGATGTACAAGGCAGAACTAATGCCTCATACATTTGAAAAACCATCTTTTTTGGAGAGTATACTTGAAAAAAGCACTCAGGGTGAATATGAAGACTTTAAACCTCAGCAAGCATATTTGAATAAATATGAAAGCTTTCTTTTCTGCTTGAAATACCTAAGATGATATATTGTCCCAGGGCTACCTGTGATCGGATAGGGGGAAAAGGAGTCATTCTAAAATATAAAATCAAAAAAGTCTAAAGTTTGGATGGATGATTAGACACAGAAAAACTGTTTTGCATGATGGCCTGATCTCCAGGCTAAGAGAAGAAATTTTAAAGACAATGGACACTTTGGTTTCTGAAGAAAGGAAATAGAAAAGAAAGGCTAAAATATACAAAAAATTATACAGAACACTTACAATCAAGACACTGTATATATACTTCAAAATTATAGCAATAAAACCAGAAACAGCGAGTATTTTTACCTTCTGGGGCATGTAATGTTAGGTGCACAGGTATCACTAGCAAGATTCAAAGTTTTATACAAACAATTTGTTACTTTTGTTGCTGTTGCATTGCATATAGTTGTGTGAGATCAATTAACATTTTTCCTATACAGAGAATGTTCACAATAAAGGAATTACACCTAGATCACCCTTGACACCAGAATTTAGGGAGGAAAAAAGGACACAGAGGGGAAGAAATCAAAGGGGGAAGGGGGAGGAAAGACCAGAAAGGGAATTAATGGGAAGAACAGGGGTGGGGCCTTCAGTTATACTGGGGATGTGGGAGAGTGGTATAGCTCCAGATGCGAAAACAGAAAAAATAAAACGGAAAATAGGAGCTCTAAACTGCAACCACCAGAACTTCACAGTAGCTGAGGCTGGTGAAGTGTGCGGTGAGGACGGAAAACGGGAACAATGGTGGAGGGAAGTTGACACTGGTTTGGTGTTGCAATATCATAATGCCTAAAACTCAACTATCAGTAATTCTGTAGATCAATGTTATTTAATTAAATAAAAAAAATTAAAAAGAGACGATATGCCAAACACAGTAATAACAAGTCTCACAATGTTACTGGGCCCGCTCGAGCAAATCTTATGAACAACAGGAGGACAGTGACAGTGAAAAAGAGAATGACAAATATTTCTCAGAAATATTTATCAGGGTATCCAAATAGGCTAACTCTTGAGAACAAGAAATAAAAGGAGAGAAAAGTACTTGTAAAAAAGAAAGAAAACCAGGCCTTCCTTCTACTTGCTCTGTAAAATAAAGGTTATAAATATGTATGCAGCTTTATTCTTTTGAACTTGTTGAAACTTTGGCAACAGTAATAAAAACAACTCCATATGGCCGGAGTGATAGTACAGCATACGGGGAGGCTGTTTGCTTTACACACAGCCAACCCTAGTTCGATCCCCAGCATCCCATATAATTTCCCCAAACCCACCAGGAGTAATTTTTGACCGGAAAGCCAGGAATATTCGCTGAGCACCACTGTGTATGGCTCCCAAAACAAACAAAACCCCCAAAACAACAAAAACAAAAATCAAACAACAAAAAAACCCCTTAATATAGTTTTGCAATTTTACATTCATCATCTCTTTTAAGTCTCACAACTATCCTACATAAATGGACAGAATCAAGTACTACCTGATTCTGAAATTGTGACCCAACCATGTTTCTGAACAACGCCCCCAACGCTTTTCCAAATGAGATGAATGTATAAGGGTTATTTGTATTTGTACCTATATGTCAGAAAGGCAGGGATAAGTACATTATTTTTAAAAAAACATTCAAAGAACAATGTAGATTATTTTAAGATTTAGATTAAAACTCAGCAAGTATCTGTGTAACACATACCAGGTATCAAGTCTGTCTGTTAGGTGTTTTTTTTTACCTTTTGGAGAGGGTTAATGAAAATATTGAATATACCCCAGAGCAAGCAAAAACAGTTAAGAATGTTCAGGATCCCCAGAATAGCACCATAAATGAGAGAACTTTTCAAAACTGGTTTGAATGATCAATTTTGGAGTTTAAAGATATTAGGTAAAGATCACAAGACAGTAACTCATAGACTTAGTTTTAACATCAGGAAAGAGGTACCACCAAATCATTCGAACACATTGAAACTATCAGAGGCTCTCGTTAGTTCCTTATGTAAGACTAGGAAGTGGAACATAGAAACTTATTTCCTGAGGCTTTGTAAATGGTCTGTACCTTCTGGTCAATGAGCTCTGCTGACTAGAGAAGTGATCTCCGAATTTATTTTTAATGATTGAGATGGCACATTTCATTAAATGTTTTTGTAAAAATTTAAAAAGCAAAACTTTTTCCCCTCAATTTTCCAAGCATCTCCCTATTCCAATTTCATTTTGGAAACTGGCACCACAAATGATCATAATAAAAATTTTGATAGCACAGCGGTAGGGCGTTTGCCCTACAAGCGGCCAGCAAGGCCGACCCGAGTTTGATTCCTCCGCCCTTCTCAGAGAGCCCGGCAAGCTACCGAGAGTATCTCACCCGCACGGCAGAGCCTGGCAAGCTCCCCGTGCCGTATTCGATATGCCAAACACAGTAACAAGAAGTCTCACGATGGAGACGTTACTGGGCCTGCTTGAGCAAATCGATGAACAACGGGAGGACCGTGACCGTGACCATTCTTATCATTAAAAGAATAGCATATATATATATATATCCACTAATTGGATACTTACTGGCTCATAAATCATATACGTGAACTTTTTATATCACTATTTATCTAAAACATGGAATCAAAACTATAAAGCAATTCTTTTCTGTGCTAAAGTCTGTCACAATGTACTTTGAAGACAAGCAGATTACGGTGTGAATTCTTGAGGCAAAATTAATGGGTTAAATTCCAACCAGTGCCAGTTAATCTCTCATGGAATAGATGACCTGCTCAAGAGTGTAACTAGGATTTAGTGACCATTTACGCCCTTATATAACAGACTGTGAAGACTTATAATCTACATGTTTCATCACTTTTCTTTATTGGGTAAGTGGGATGTGACTTATTAGGCCAGTATTTTTTCACTTTATATTTAACTGCAAAATACTTACTACAATTGCTGTACATCTGATAAAGGTGTAACACATGGACAGTAGAGAAGTCACTCAATTATAAATGTACTGCATTTTGTAGTAAGTACATCGAATCAAGCCTCAATCTCACAGTGTGATTTACTCTGCCGAGTCTTAAAATGAACAGCAATTGCTATTCAAATTTAATTTTCTCTTTTTGGGTCACACCCAGCAATACACAGGTGTTCCTGGCTCTGCACTCAGGGGACCATATGGGATGCTGGGAATCTGAACCCGGCTCGCCCGCGTGCAAGGCAAATGCCCTACCCCTGTGCTATCACTCCAACCACAAGATTTCATTTTTGATGACTCTAAGTATGCTACTAAAAATTCAGCCTTGATCCCTTCATACTAAAACATCTACTGTATAATCAAGCACAATATTGGGAATACCTTTAATATCTCCCCCCCTCCTTTTTTGTGGCTGGGTAGGTGACGGGGTTACTCCCATCAGTACTTAGGAGATCAGGCGGTGCTGGAGATCAAACCAGAGTCAGCCTCAAGGAAGTCAAGTGCCTTACGCTCTGTACTATGTCTCTGTCCTTTTTCATTCTTCCTTTTTCTATTTCCAAAGCATCATTCACTGTAAATGCCTTTCCTTTGCAAAACCGAAACTAGTTACTCAAGACAAGTAATTAATTAGGTTACTCAAACACCCTTTCCTACCACTGCCACTCTGATTCATCCTCTTGATGAACTCATACTCTGAAGGTAGGTAAGTCGAGTCATGTGAAGAGAGAGCTAAAATATTCCAAGTTTTCCCAAACAAAATGCACTGACACTTCACCTTGCCACTTGAGGGCATCTATAGCTTCTGTTTCTGCTATTATCTCCAATCTGGGACATTTCCTGTTCTTGAACTGCTTTATTTAAAAAACTGCTTTATTTTAAAAAAATCACTTTAATTCACAATATATTTTAATTCGATTTCCATCTGGATCATGAATTTCTTGTATAGTTTTCGATTTTCCTTGTTTCTAGCAGCCTTCAAAGTCGTTGTGAGGGACAGGTTAATTTAACAATGATCCTTAAGCATCCATTATCCCTTAACCATATTTTCCATTCTTCTGAGATTCCTTCCTTACCCTCCCATTGGGAATGATTGTTCTCCAGGCCTTGCTGCACAACTTTATCTCAGGATATCTCTTGAGTGCTTTCCTGGTTGATCTCCCCCCACCCACTTCTTTTCCTCTGTCTCTGTCTCTGTCTCTCTTTCCTTAAATTCTTCTTTGGGAACTTCCTAAGAAAGGTTATGTGGAAGAAAATGCTCTGAACCTCACACATCTGGAAGTATTTTTATTTTGCCTTCCACTTTTGCTTGGTAATGGTCTAGTATCAAATTACAGAACCAAAAGTCACTTTGCCTCTGAATATTGTCACCATTGGTTTGTGGCCTTCTCCCACTGAATGCTACTGAGAAGTGGTGCAGCCTACTATACTCTTTGGGGCTCCCCCCATCTGTTTCTGGAGGCTTTGAGAAATTTCCTGGTACTGCTCTGGGGAACCAATAGGGTGCCAGGGGTTGAACACAGGTCAGCTGCGTGAAAGGAAAGTGTCTTTACCTACTGTAAACGGCT